ACACACTATGTATAGCAAGTGACCTTTTCTCATTATTTCCATCCATACGTTCTCGTATATAGTCAAACCTCGGTTCCTGAACAGCTCCATTTTTAAACATTTTGGCTCCTGAATGCCGAAAACCTGGAAGTAAATGCTCTGGTTTTCAAACATTTTTCGGAACACGAACGTCCGACGCAGCTTCCGCTTGAGTGCAAGAAGCTCTTGCAACCAATCGGAAGCCATGCCTCAGTTGTCGAAGGTTTTGGAAGTCAAATGGGCTTCCGGAATGGATTATGTTTGACAACCGAGGTTTGTATATATTGAATATAAATACACTGTCTTCAACAGGTGTGAAACAAAGCAATAAAGGCAAACAGACGTTTCCTGAAGAAAATATGTGTGTGCTGTTCTCTTTCAAGCCACTTCTTCAGCAAATGCATGTAAATACTTTACCAATTGCTTTGGAACCAGGCAAAGCAAGGTCTGTTTTCCCGGGAATTTGGGGAGCACCAGAGATAGGATAGTGTTGTTGAATATATTTTAAATATATGTATTTATTATTGTTGTTGTTCTTATCATCATCATCATCATCAGTATTTTAAGGTAAAGGTAAAGGGACCCCTGACCATTAGGTCCAGTCGTGACCGACTCTGGGGTTGCGGAGCTCATCTCGCTTTATTGGCCGAGGGAGCCGGCGTACAGCTGACTAAGCCGCTTCTGGCGAACCAGAGCAGCGCACGGAAACGCCGTTTACCTTCCCGCCAGAGTGGTACCTATTTATCTACTTGCACTTTGACGTGCTTTCGAACTGCTAGGTTGGCAGGAGCTGGGACCGAGCAACGGGAGCTCACCCCATCACAGGGATTCAAACTGCTGACCTTCCGATCAGCAAGTCCTAGGCTCTGTGGTTTAACCCACAGCGCCACCCGCGTCCCCATCAGTATTTTACTTGATTGTAAATTGCTTTGGGCTTTTTTTAGTAGAAGCAAAATATAAATTCAATAAACCTAAACCAAACCAAAACTTTGCAACAACCTTTACATGACCTTTGACACTATTAGAAACAGCCAAGCCAAGGCCAATGGGAGAGGACCTTACCATGAGACACAACATCCATCTTTCCCTTCCAAGCAGCTCACCAACTCAGTTGCCATATTTGGCAGGGAGTTAATAACAGTATGGGATGGCAACATGACATATTATGGTGCTTTCAATGTGCTTCACATGTATTAATTAGTAGCATCCTTATAACAATTCCATAAGACAAGTCAGTGATACTAGGTTTATTAAATGTATACAATGCTTCCTGCTTCAAGAAGCCCTAAAGCAATTTGAAACCAGAGTAAAAGCACAATATAGAAATATCATAAGTGTGTCAAAGACAAATAAAAAAGTCCATCCCCATCATAACCACACTACCCAACCTAAGACGAACACCAAAGCATCCTATCACTGATGCTGTCCAAATGCCCAGGAAAAAACCATGCATTTGTCTCGAAGTTAGTGCCAGGCAGGCCTCCCCAAGGAGAGCATTTCAAAGACAGGAGCTACTACAAAAAAGGCTTGTCGTCTCCCCATATTGCTCAACCCAAGGCTGAGAGAGAGAGAGAGTGGTTTGCCTAAGGCTCCCTGTGAATTCATGGCAGAGGTAAGATCTGAACTGGAGGCTTCCCCATTCATTTACTCGGCCTCTTAACTACTACTTTATACCAATCCACTAACAAATACCGCACATACATGCAGGTGTAAAATATAATGTCACATGCATGTGGGATGTGGAGCACATTTATCACACCAGCGTGCCAAAACAATCTCACTTACAGCAGCCCCGAAATACCTCTTTTAATCTGCAAAGGCCACCCTCCCTCTCTGAACAACAATTCCATTTACAATTTAGCTCCTTGTTTCCCAGCATTATTCCTACTTGAAAACACTCATCTACAAGATGATTAATCAAAATCACATGGTGGGATTAGAAGGATTTATTAAAAATAAATAGGAAGCGTGATCTCAATTTCCTAATTTTCCATGTTCTGTGTATAGATGACTCATTTTCTCAGCATCCCTCGGAGCCTGGTTACACTTGTTTGTTTTTGCATATACAGTATCTGAATAGCAAGGTTTGGGAGGGAGAATTCCCATTCTTTGTTCCTTCCTGGAACTAAATTGGCATCAATGCCCAACAGATGAGTCATCGAGAGCTAGAGGCCTCAACTATTGCACCAGATTAATGGAGCTGTCCATTCCTGTCCATTCAGTGGGATTTACAATTCTCACATGAATGTAAATGCTAGGTTGGACACCAACTTAATCTGAGCCAGGTTCTCCCTTTTCACACATAATTTCACACAGTAAATGCAGCCCTTTAAGTACTGAGTTCGCATAACAAGTGTGAGCAGCAGCAGCAGGCAGTGGGGTGGGGTGGAAGCACTTAGCATTTGCCCCGTGCCACCCTCCTGGTAAGTGGCAGTGACTCATCTGCCAGAAGGTCTCCATTGCACCATACTGCCAGCTTCTAAATATGCATTTATTTTAGAGCTGCCACCTCATTTTCTGGACAGAAGTGTGGAACTTGGCATAACATGTGCAGTTTTTCCTGGCCTGAAGGTGGGAGTTTTCAGGGCCTTTTCCGTGGTGGTTCCATATTTGTGGAGTGCCCTTCCCGGTGAGGTGTATCTGTCTCCCTTGTTATTGACTTTCAGGAGAAATTTGAAAGCGTTCTTGCTTAACCAGGCATTTAGATACTGACAGATACAGGCCATGACAACTGTAACGTTAATAACTGTAAAAGTTCGTGATTGCTTTTTAGATGGTTGTCAATTGTTTTTTGATATTTGCTACCCTGAACACAAATTTAGATTTAGATAAATAAATAATTCTACAAGTCAAACTTTAGGCTGCTGTGAGGCAGTTTACAGTCAAAGACTCTTATCATGGTGGGAAGTGACAATTTTAAATCCCATTCCTCCCCCCCCCCCCTTTTATGGGTATCTGTAAGGGCTGAGCTGAAACAAGAGAAGGGGGTTTGTGAAAGATGTATTTCAGCAATATTTCAGGGGGCTCTGTAAACTGGGATAAACATGTTTGTGTTCAAGCAAAAAGGAAGAACGAAAAAAAGTAGTAAGAGCTGCAATGAACTCTGACCCTAGCTCTCCAGTGTTACATGTACTGAAAGTAGCCAGAGACCAAAGGCAGAAAGTCCTTTGGCACTGCCCTTCGGTGACCATCCTGAGCAACCTTTTAAAAAAGTTGAAAAGGTAGCTCCTCCCCATTATATCATTAAATACGCAGAGGCCTTCCTTTTCATATTTATTATTTTATTCTTCCCATGTAACCATTGCATGTGGACCTTAGCTAAGCAATGCTTTTTTAAAAAACAAAAAACCCTTTCTCCTCAAATAGTCTTCCTTTGTTAAAACCAGAATAAAAATTTTAAATGGCAGTAACAGTACAGTAAAACTAAATCCCCTTTAAGGGGGGATTACACACCACTGCACTGAAAATAGGCCCTGGAATGGCTATGAGACAGAACAGCTGTCGTATTTTTCGCTCCATAAGACGCTCCTGGCCATAAGACACAACTAGTTTTTAGAGGGGGAATGCAAGAAAAAAAAAATTCTTTAAAGGGAGCGCTGAGCAGAGCGCTCCCTTTCATGAGCCGTGTGGAGCATGTGTGCAGCGCTTGCAGACTTTTCCCCGAGGAGGAAAAAGCCCCTCCTATGGGAAAAGCCCCCAAGAGCCGCACACACGCTCTGCACGGCTCTTTAAAGGGAGCATGGCTCTTGGGGGCTTTTCCGGGAGGTAGGGGAAGGGACAGAGGGGCTAAGCCAGAAGCTAGAACAGCAAGAGGGAGCGCTGCTATGGCTTCTGGGATAGCTGCGCAGCCTGCATTCGCTCCACGAGACGCACACACATTTCCCCTTACTTTTTAGGAGGGAAAAAGTGTGTCTTATAGAGCAAAAAATACGGTAAATAGAACATCCATCTTCAGGAGCAGTGTACCTCCTATACCAGATCCCTGGGCACATATTCACTTATTGTTGCATTTATACCTCCCCTTTCCTCCCAAGGAGCTCAAGGGGACATGCATGGTTTTCCTCTGTTTCATAACACTAGGCATCCAGCGGAGCTGAATGCTGGAAGATGTTAAGGTCAGATAAAAGAAAGTACTTCTTCATGCAGCACATAGTCTAACTAACTATGGGACTTGCTCAGGATGCAGCAACTTGGATGGCTTTAAAAGAGGATTAGACAAATTCATGCCTATTAACGGCTACCTCCACAGTTGGAGGCAGCAATGCCTTCTAAATATTAGCTAGGGTGCTCACCTTCTGCTTGCTAGTTTCCCACAGGCATCTGATTGGCCACTGTGAGAACAGGATGTTGGCTTGATCCAGCAAGCTCTTCTTATGCTCCTAACAGCCCTAAGAGTTAGGTTAGGGCCTAAGAGGCGTGGAATTGTACCCTGGCCTCCCAAGTCCTAGCGAGGCACTGTAACGTCTAACCACTACACCACACTGCCTCTCTGCCATACAACGGGGAGGAATCGGGAGGGCGCTTGCTTGCTTAGCACGTCCTGTTTCTTACGCAAAGGCGCCTGGCGGGTCACTGTGGGGACAAGCAGGACGCGGCGCCGGGAGGGACTTTTAAGCCGGAGGACCCCACAGGGCTCTTCCTCAGCTGTTTTTAAAAACCTAGTCTTGTAACCTGCTCTGACAAGCGCTGCCCCCCCCCCGCAGGAAAGCGGGGGAGCGAGGCGTGAAAAGAACCAGGAGACAAGGGCGGGGGCATCGCTGCGACGAGGCCGCCCCTGTTCCAGCCGCAGTAACGCAGTTGACTCGGAGGCGGCTCCCGCCAACGCCCCCTGCCCCCGCTCGCGAAGTGACGTCCGTGGTGACGTCAGCAAAGAGAAACCGCTTGCTGGGAACCCTGGCGCGGCGGGGGAGGGAGGGAGAGATGCACAACTGGGGCATACCATCCAGTGCGCGGGGGGAGCTCGCAGAATCAACTCAGCCCGGCCTGGGCTCCAGAGTCCCTCTGCCGGCGTTTCTTACACCGGCTTCCACCAGCGCCCATCTCGTCTCTTGAACTGAACGTGGGAGGAAGAGCTACTCTTCTGCGGGCAGGAGGCTTGAGCTTCCCGCGCTCTCCCCCCCTCTTTTGCGCTTTGGAGCTGCCCGTTGCGTCAGTGCCGGCTGAAGGCGTGAGCCGTGCCTTGTGCCGGCTTGAGCTCCCGTCTGCGGCAGTGAGCGGCGTCCGCGTGCGTGTGCTGAGGAGGCTGGTGTGAGCTGCCGCCCTGCTGGGATTCCCTTGCTGCTCCTCGTTCCCCGAGGGTGTGTGTGAGTGCTCGTGCGCCCCTGTTCCTCCGTCTCCGTAAGGCTGCGCGGCAGCTCCGCTTGAGCTTGTGACCTCATTCTCGCCAGGGGGCTCGTTTCCCCGGTTCTCCGGTTGTCCTCGCCCGGTTCCCCGAGGGCAGCGTTATTATGTATCAGAGCCCCGCTCGGTCCCTGTGCTCGGCCCTCTCCAACCTCTGCTGCGCGCCTTCCTCCGCCACCTCCTCGACGCTGCTGCTCCGGTCTCCGGCTCCAGTCAAGAGAGCCCTCTCCCCGCCTGCCATCCTTGCATCTTCCGCCGCCGTCACCGCCGCCCCTCACTACGGCTGCTCTGCGGCTGTAAGCTCGGGGGCTGCGAATTCCCAAGCAGGTGAGTGCCTAGAACCCTCGGGGGCGCCGAACGTTCCATGGATGGAACGCTGGGTTTCGGACGTTCTAATAAAGACGCGGGGTGGGGGCTGATCAGTCGAGAGATGGTTGCTAAAGGGGTACAGGTAATCTAACGAGTTCGTCTCCTGCATAGTGGGGGCGTGTGGGGCCTTACCTCTAAGTGGCATCATCATTTGTCTGTATCTTATCAATCCTTACAGTAACCTTGTGAGGTAGGTCACCGTTCCGTTTTACCCATGGATAGCTTGAAGTGAGTTTTCCAAGCCAGATCTGTGGAGCCCACGGTCTACCACGCTTTCCACTATGCTAAGCTCTGGGATGGTTTCTTAAAATAAAAAAAAAAATATCCAGAGTACATTTTGCTCTACTTTTGTCTTGGGTGAAGGCTGGACACATGCTAGATACAAGGCTTCTGATTTATTTAAAAAATATATTATTAATGAGGAGGCAGCCGTCAGCCTTATTTATTAAGTAAATGAACTCAAGACAGTCTTAAACTGGCAGCTGATTCATTAAAAGCTGCTGCTTCCAGAAAGTCAGTGAATGGGATCTTATGCCAGGCATATATTACATACCCTGTAGGCAGCACTCTCAGTTTTACCACCTTGTTGAGATAAGTTTTTGCATCCTTGATTAATTCTCCAAGTTACCTCTGCTCTGAGAAAAGCATGTGCTGCTTGGGGATTTCAAGGAGTGATTTTTGCATGTTACCCCTCTAACTATGCCAGAGTTCCTATTAATCATTATTTGTGCCCAGGGAAAAGCAGTATGCCGTATCCTGCTCTTTAGCTCCTTCCCCACAGAAAATATTTCTGTTTAATTTTCAAAAAGACGCTGAGGAAATCTACGGTGCCGTACCTGAGTGTAGGTGCACATTTGGGTTGTAAAAAGTAATGTGATGCTTCGGAGAACATTTTCGAGAAACTATAACGTGTTCTCCTCTGCTGTAGTTTGCCAACTCATTTGTGCACAGCATGTCATCCTTTCCATGTGCACAATGATTAATGGTTTTAAGGAACTGAAATTCGTCTTGACTTGAAAGCCGATGCTCACTACGGGTTGTTAAAAGTATTTGCTAAAAATGCAGAGATGGAACAGGATCGGAAAAGGTCAACCAAAATGTTCGAGGGGGTGGAGCAACTTCCCCTACGGGTGAAAGTTTACAGTGCCTGTGGCTCTTCAGTTTAGAGATAAGGTGATTAAGAAGAGGCATGATGAAGGTATATCAAATTACACATGAGGGGGTAGAGAAAGTGGACAGAGGAGTTTTTCTCTCTCATAGATAACAATGGAACATCCAGTGCAGCTGAATGTTGGAAGATTCAGGACAGACAGCAGAAAGTACTTCTCACAGCACATTGTTAAACTATGAAACTCCTTCCCACAGGAGGCAATTATGGCCGGCCAGCTTGTATGGATTTTTTTAAAGGGCTAGACAAATTCATGGAGGATAAAGCCATGTTCTACCTCCACGTCCAGAGGCAGTGTGCTGGAAACCACAGAAGGGGAGAGTGCTGTTGCACTTAAGTCCTGTTGGTGGACTTCCCATAGGCCAATGGCCTGATCCTGCAGGCTGTTCTCATGTTCTTATGTGTCTTGGCATCATGTCCTGCTTGTGAATTTCCTTCCTAGAGGTGTCTGGTTTTTCTACTAGATTTAAGATGGGCCTTTGGTTTGACCCAGCAGGAATGCTCTTAGGTTCTTATTGGCTTTCTTGGTATTTAAACTGAGGAGTGAGAGCAATTGCACTATATAAATTATGATGAACTGAGACTGCTTGAAAATCTGCTTCACAACAAGCATCTGCCTTTCACTTCCCTTACTACTGTTTCTTAGCTCATCAGCCTTTCAGATGGTCTACATGAAAGCTGAGCAAGAAATAGTTTGTCTGACGTAGTAATCTGCCTGCGGGACAGTCCAATGTACATTGGGATCTCTTGGATGGGGCAAAGTGTACGCAAGCACAGGAGATGCTCCTGTTTCCATCACCGCAGCTGTTGTTGGCCTACAATTCAACTAGCTCAGCATTCCCTATTTTGGACCAGCGGCGGAGCTTCATGCTCCGGCACCAGGGGCGGAGAGCAGGCAGCGGGGCTGGCGTGCGTCCTGGGGGCTGGGTGCCCCACCCGTAGGGGTTTGGCGCCCAGCACAGGCGGGGGGAGCAGCCGTAATTGCACCCCGCTGGGATCTCGCTGCCGGGGGCGGTGCGCTCCCCCCGCACTCCTCTTCCTCCGCCAGTGTTTTGGACTACAGTTTCCATCAGCCCCAGTTGGTCAGGGATGATGGCAGTTGGAGTTCAACAATATCTGGAGGTCACCAGGTTGGGAAACCCTAGCCTTGTTACTTGAACTCTGAAAAATCTCATAACCATCAATGGAACCTTTTTAAAAGGCTTGTGATGCAGTCCTCTGCATGCGTGTCTGCACAGAAATAAGCCCCTATTAAGTTCATTGTGGATCAGTGTGTATACGATTGCAGCCTCCATTTGCAATTCAGAAGATTCCCCCACCTTTTAGTGCTAACTAATGCCAGCTAAGCCAGTAACATTCAACCTAAGCAGAAAGATCTTGGGTTCTCTTTAACCTGCTTGGGTCTAGGTGTTGGTAAGCTTCTTAGGGTACCTCAATCATTCACTGAGAACGCATCTAATATAAGAAGATCATTGCTGAATTCAGCCAAAGGCCCATCTGATCCTGTACGCTGGTTCTAGCATTGGCCAGCCGGATGCCAATGGGAAGCTTTCAAGTAGGACTCAAGGGCAACAGCATTCTTTCAACTTGTGATCCTCAGAAAGTTGTGTTCTGTGTACAGTAAGCCCACAGCTTACGCAGGGATTATGTTCCAGGGATCGCACCTGCAGCCAGAATCGCATATAGTCAAAACCCATTGGGTTCAATGGCGGGTAGGATTGCCAGAGTCATTTCCCCCAGAATCCTGCTCCCTTTCTGTTTTTTATTTTTCCTTTGCCACTTCAGTCCATTGCTGAAATGTGGGTCTTTGTAATGTTAAAATGGACCTACTTTTTGGCCACTAACATTCACAGAAAAAGATGCTTAAAACAGGAGTGCCCTGAATCCATGTATGCAGTTTTTCATCAATTTTTTTGGAAGTCTGCCTCTTTTGTAACTTAGGTTTGGAAAGTTTCTTAGTTGTCGTCCCCCCTCCCCCGAAGTTGAGTCATACTTGAGAAAACCTAGCTATTTGGAGCTAAGGCTTCTTGTCATTTTCTCACCCACATTGCTGGCAAGGGAGAGGGTTTTTTCCCCTGGTGAATTTGCCACTTTCTCTCACAAATGTTGTAAGAGAAGAGGGTTGAAAAATCTGCAATAAAGCTGCAATCATAGTGCCATTTATGTAACCACAGAGGAGTCCTACCTATATCCATTTGAACTACCTTAGTTTGAGAACTGTGGATCAGCCTATGCTTCTTATCTTCCTTCCTTATTTCCCTCTGTTATAAATCACTAGATCACTATGACCACGGCCATATCTCAGTGATGAGGTACATGCTCTGCAAGCAGAAGATCACAGGTTCAGTCTTTAGCATACCAAGTTTTAAAAGTATTTGGTAGTGGCGAGAAAGGTGGTCTGCCTGCGATGCTGTGGTCTCTGTAGACAATGCTGGAATCGATGGTCCAATTGAATAGCCTGACCTGGTACGAGAGGGTGTTGTCTGGTCCTTGGACTAACCGAGAGGTGTTTTAGAGAGACATCAATATCCTAACATTTCCCTACATTTATTATCTTCACGCTCAAAACCCATGAAGCCCTTTGAAATCTGCAGAGGTCTTGTGATTTGGTTTCGTGGAACATGAGTTGCTCATTGTGAAAGCATGTGAGGGGGAGAGGATGAGACAAAAGTGCAATACAGCATTTCAGTTTCAGACAGGAAGCAATGGATTTGCATTTTGTTTCTTAAAAAAACACACAGAGTGGTATGTGACGAAAATGTACTTGGAACAGACTCACTGAAATCAGTTAGCCACGATGTCCATGTTTTAATTGGGTCTACTCTTGAGTATGACTTAGGCTCCATCTTCTGCACTACCCATTTAAAGCAGTATTAAAGCAAGTTAAGCAGTCATTGCTCCCCACAAAGAATTCTGGGTACTGTAGTTAGTTAAGGGTGCTGAGAGGAGTTAGGAGGCTCCTATTCCCTTCCCAGAGCTACAATCTGTGTAGTGGTTCGACATATTTTCTACCCGTGCCATGCTGCGGATGTAAACAGGGCTGTTGGAGGTCAAGCAGCTCATTCACCAGTTTTCCCCCAAAAAGGGAGAGTGAAGGCTAGGAATGCTCTTGGGTTTAAGATACTGCATCCAGCCAAATTGTTGTCTGGCTGGGTCTAATTGGGCCCAGTAAGATCCACAAAACAGAGAGAGTCCTGATTGGTTCCAGGGTTTTAGATCAGGCATAGGCAAACTTGGCCCTCCAGATATTTTGGGACTACAACTCCCATCATCCGTGACCACTGGTACTGTTAGCTAGGGATTATGGGAGTTGTAGTCCCAAAACATCTGGAGGGCCGAGCTTGCCTATGCCTTTTTTAGAGAATCCCCTTGTGGTCCAATGTTCATTAGGAGGGCAAGCCCATCCTTGGGACATTCTGTCATCCCCTGGCAATCCATGATGCTTGGGACCAGCATGTTCAGGTTTAGAGTTCCACCCTTATCTGGAAATGCTGTTGAACTGATTGCAACTTGAGGTTTGTGTGTGTGTTTACATACATAGCATATTATAGGTATGACTTAGGTTGTCAGCCTAGGCCCACTTACTAGGGGAAGAGCCCCATTGAGCTCAGCTGTATTTACTTATGAGCAAGCATGCTGATTGCAGTGTTAAACACAGTGTGTCAAGTGGCTCTAACGGCTGCCGGTGTGGGCGCAGGAGTGCTGGGTCAATCTCTTGATATTGGCATTCTGCGCGGAATCTACTGTCGTTACATCAGCATTATTGATTGACTTGCTGTAGCTGACATAGCCATGATTACACAACCTGCCTGGCCAATTCTTTTGCCTCAAGGTTAGATAGAAGTAGCTCAGTAGTTCCTGGTGGACTTTTCATTTCCTAGGTTCCCCTCTAGAGCTTTGCTCATAACTGGCTACCCAGATATTGAGTTGTAACAAAGCAAGCAGTAATAATAATGTCAAAACGAAGAGCAGATAGCAAGCTATGTGGAATCTACTCCTATCAGGGCAACTTGCATGTTCTTAGGAAGATCGCTGTGCTTTGCTTACTGAGGGAAGCTGCTGCTGCAGCCGTGCTGTGTTGCAATGCAGCAGCATTTCCCAAGCAGTTTATTTCCAGGGGAGAAGCCATGTTAGCCACCTTAAAGCCTGGCAAGATTTCATGGACTTCAGTCCAATTTGCCACCAGATGCTCAAACTGTTTCCCTACATTACAGGTATATACTTTGGGGAGGAGGGAAATACAAACAGCAATGTCAAGAAAGAAACAAAATGCACAGAAGTACAGGTGGCAATAATTTTTTAATTAATGGTGCTTTGCAGTACAGTGGTTAACTCTACACCCCTGGCGTTGGTTAGCTAATTTGCACACACAATTTCCTACAAATCCTTTGCGCCAGTCCAGTCTACAAGTGATTCCACAGACCCTCTTGAAGTAGTAATTGAGCAGTTAGACATTGGAGTCTTCCTTTAAAGTTCGTTTGCCTCAGGAAGGCAACTCATAGGTCTCATGCAGATTGTCCTAGGAGGTTGAAACGCCCCTCCCCCACACACACCTATTGCCATTTCTTATGTCAGATTTGTGTCCATTTGTATGATTGAGCTGAGCACCATGATTTGCAGAAAACGGATTGGATTCTGGTTGCAGGTTGTGCGGCTACACCAAATGGGAGAAAAACACCCCCAAGATATTGCAGCAACTCAGGGTGATTCAGCATGATTCTGTTACCTGCAGTTACAAAAGCAAATTCTTGGTCTGAGGAGGAGAGGAAGGACAGTTGTTCTACTGTGTGCAATCCTGTGTATGTTGTTGCTCCAAAGATCCTCTTTGGGCCGTTGCTGCCAGAAAATGTGTATATTAACTACAGACTCTGCACAAAGGGAAGGAGGCAGGCAAAAGATAATGAGGGAGAAGCACAGATGAAAATGTCCAGGCAACATGCACAAGATGTCTCAGAACTACAGGATTGGTTGTTTTTGTCATTTGCTTTGCAATGTACAGTGGTACCTCGGGTTACATACGCTTCAGGTTACAGACTCCGCTAACCCAGAAATAGTACCTCGGGTTAAGAACTTTGCTTCAGGATAAGAACAGAAATCGGGCTCTGGCGGCACGGCAGCAGCAGGAGGCCCCATTAGCTAAAGTGGTGCTTCAGGTTAAGAACAGTTTCAGGTTAAGAACGGACCTCCGGAACAAATTAAGTACTTAACCCGAGGTACCACTGTACTTTGGGAACAACCCATTGCAGGCACCCAGGGTAGTAAGCAGTTTATACCTTTCAGGATTACTTCAGCAATGCAAACAAGCTGGGATAGTATTATGCACATACTGTCTCTTTACTGATTGAATATTTTATATACTGCCTGTCTTGAAAGCTTCTCCAGGCAGCATTGCAGTAGCAATATAAATTGCAGTATGAAACATTACAGCACAAATGCAATAAAATTAAAATCCAAGTGCAATCAGTAGTCCAAATAAATCAGAACTTGTAACGACTGGCATTGGGAACCAACAAGGCCAAGTTAAATAAAGAGGCCCTAACTGGAGTTAATACCTGCTGTATGGAATGCTATGTGTAGTCTTGGCTTCTAGGGAACCCCAATAGGTCCTCAAAGTTCCTTCATTACTTTCCCTGATCAGAAAAAAGCAGTCCGCCATTTAGGTCACTAGTCTTCAGCTCTTGAGTTGGGACCCACAAGTGGCGTTTCCACTTTCCCAGAGTGGATCACTGCTGAGTTTTGGGTCATTTTGTGGTGGGTGTATAAAAAATAAAGTGAAGGAGGTTTGTAACTTTGGGGAAGGACTGGTAGCTCAGCAGTGGACTCCCTGCTTTGCGTGCAGAAGGTTCTGGGTTCAGTCTCTTGCATCTCCAGGTAGGACTGCTGCCAGTCGTGCAGGTAATACTGAGCTAGGTGGAGCAATGATCTGACTTAAAGGCAGCTTCCTGTGTAGGACTGGAAGGAAGGAAGATGGAGAAATGCAGAGGAGAGAGAAGGAAACACACACACGCTCTCTCTGCCAAAGTAGGTCAAAGCTGGGGCAAAAGTGCCATCTCATATTTGAAAAGTTGAAGACATTAAAATGCTGGGACTCTGTACCCACTTTCCTGGGGCCCCTTGAACTCAGTGGGGCTTGCTTGTGAGTAGAAGTGTCTGGAGTTGTGCTGTGAACCAGCAATTCCCTCTCCAGAGTGCACATTCCAAGCCTAGGTGTGTTGCTAAAGTTTTAACATGTTCATAAAGCACCATCTCATGCAAGAGCCAATGAACTTTCTGGAATTTAGTTGAAAGGGCAATAATGATAGAAAATCTGCTTACTCACTAAAGGCATGCTAGAAAGTGGTTGCGTAAGGGGACTGCTAAGGCGTTAACGGGCAGGAGTGCTTGTCTTGTTATATAAGTCAGGGGGATCTGAGTTGCACGGTACAAAGAGCAAGCAGGAGCTGTGCATTTCCTGTCAAGGAGGCCAGTGTGAAGTGCAGCCTGCGTGCTTTTTTCTCTTCATAGGCGACACTGTTCAATCTCCTGGTGGATTACTGAGTGGGCGAGGGAACGAAAATAGCGGTCCCCCCCCCAAAAAAAAAATCACTTTGCATTGACACAAGAGCTTCGTTCAGCTAAGCTACCACGGGGTAGCCTCCTTTGGTCTCGTGACCAGCGCTTCAGCATGCAGCGGCGTTGACTTGCCGTGCAAGAGCAGATTTTAAAAATCTCGTCTTTTCTGGAGTTGCTAGGGGTTAATTGTGACAATGGAAGTTACATCGGGCGCAATTTTGTAAGGGGCCACTAGGTGTCGCCAGAGGACAAGGTTAACAGAAAGAGAGACTGCTCACATGACGTCAGAGGCTGGCTGTTCTGTGCGAGATTCACCATTAGAGTTGTTTATTCCGCACGTTGATGCATTCTTCCGGCTTTTCAGGTGTGTATGCAAGATTAACGGCCTCGTTCAGTATTGTGTTTTCATTAGAGATGTATTGCAAAGCCTAGTGCTTGAGACTAACAGAACTCTAGAAACCCTCGAAGTGTTTACGAGTTTGTGTGGATGTTCGTTTGCATTTCTACTTCGCATAGTTTTAACCTTTGTCTAGCAACTGTTGGGACTGGAATAGAGTAACAAAGGAGACCAGCCTGGTCATGTCTTTGGAAATATGGTTATAAATCGGCAGCGAGATTTGCCTTTCCTATTCGAAGGGTGCTGTGATTGCGATTTGAGGCCCCTATGACTTAGCGTGATTTTAATTCAAGGCTGTGCTGTTAATATGCAAGAAGAAAATTCCAATATTACTTGCATTTATTGATATGGGGGGGGGGGTCAAGCGGCAACCCTGTGCTCACTTACCAGGGAGTAAGTCCCATAGAACTCAGCAGAGCAATCTTACACACTTATTCTCAGAATTGAAATGATGTTGCTGAGAAATCAAGTAAACCAAACTACGGTAACTAGTTTTTCAGATAACAAATTTAAAATGCAATGCTAGTACGCAATGTTAGTATGTTGTAGTGCTTTTTGTGCAGTAACTCCGATCGCTGGGTTCACACTTCCGCCCCCCCCTAACTAAACTTGTCTTTGAAAGTCAGAGCTCTTAACCTTCCTGCACAGCCTTAATTGGTAAAAACGTCCTGTTAGGCAAATTTCTTTTCTTCCAGAGGCATCCTTTCCTCTTTCCCTCCCCCTCCCCTTTTCTTTAGTGGGTAACAATGAAAGGCAGTAGTAGTCACAGCTTTTGTCTCTCTGTTTGCGAAATATCAATGATGCAGCAATGGTCAGCACAGGACATTCGTGACCGATTTGGCCTTCCTGTGGTGCTGGGAAGTCAAGTCAGGCATTGCAAAACCTGGCAAGCATGGGCGATTACGTAAGGAACCAGACAGTTTACTGAGAAGTGCCTGCTCTTCTATGTTTGTTTTGCCGCACTTTGGGGTTGCTTTGCTATTTCTAGCATAAGTAGTTGCATTATGCAGTCTGGCAGAAAATACCCAGCAATGCAATAAAGTCATTTTTGGATTTGAGTAAAAAGAACACAGAGGGAGAGAGAGAGAGAGAGGGAAACTAGCAGTTTCTTGTGACTTGGGCAGATTGTGAGATATAAAGTTTAAAACCCCTAAAATTGTGAGCTGAGGTTCACAAGTTTTAAGAGGGGGAACTGCACACATTTAGCTTGGTGTGGGGAGTGGGACACTCCTTTATCTGTTCTTGACCTTGTTGTAAAGTTAATACGCTCTTCGTGGCTTTTTAACAATGAGATTTACCCTTGAGGGAAGCATTAAGAATTATCTACTCAAGTTACTCTGGAAAACGAAGGCATGGCAGGACTGGAAGAAAATATATCTTGCTTGAAAGGTTTCCATGTCTGTAGCTAGTGTCTTTATCTTCCGTTTGATGTGTTAAACTTTGAACTACATAGTAACCACAGAAATAACTTGTGATGTAAAAGTAGAAGCAGTTTCAGAGCTACTCATAATTGGGCTTCAGAAACCTTGAACAAATAAAAAAATTTGGGGGGGGCAGCATCCCTAGGTAGTCACAAAAACCCTGTTCTGTTGCTCTCTGCTCCCCACCCCAAATAATAATTTTATTATTTATACCCTGTCCATCTGGCTCGGTTGCCCATTGTAGGAGGTGGGGAACTGGGATGAGCCCCTTGGCTCTGGCCCTCCTGCATGCCCCCTTGTCATTCCTGCAAAAAAACCCAACCACCCCGTTTTGGGGCCTGTCTGCAGCAGCGGGGGTGGAGTCAGGGTCCTCAATCATCTACAAGAGAAGAGAGGGGCTGTGTCAATGGATTTGTCCTTGCTCTCCCCATCACATGATGGGAACTGTAGGGCAAGGGGAGCAGCTGGGCCAAGAATTTTCTGCCTGTTTTATCCTTTCAATAACACTGAGATGTAGCTTAAGCTAAAAGATGGGGACAGGCCCAAGGCCACCCAGTGAGCTTCATGGTGGCATGGAGATACGAACCTCCTGGTCCTGTACTGGTTCTTGGGTCACATATATTGCATTATGGAGGGAAGTGCAGTGGTGAATTCATTTGCTTTGATTTATGTGCAGAAAACCTTGCTCTGTGTTAGCTAATCAGAGATGGGCGTTTACTGATGAATTTGCCTCTTCTTTGCTTCGTTTTCAGTTTATTCCATGGGCAACAGTACCAGCAGGCTATATAGTGCTCTTGCAAAGACTCTGAGTACTGGTGCTGTCTCCAAACACCAGGAATACTTGGAACAAACGGATCCTGACTTCTTGGATCCCATTGATCCCAAGGATCTGCTTGAAGAATGCCAGGTGGTTCTTCAGAAACGTCCTGCCCGGTTCCAGAGGGACTTTGTGAACCTGAGGACCAGCTTTTCCAGAAGCCACCGACCTATTAGGGTCATGCAGTGGAACATCCTTGCACAAGGTATAAACCCTGATTCTTGAGTCATTGTAGAGTCCAAATGTGGTTGTGGTTGGGAAAATACAGACAGAATACAGTTGATCGCTCTCCTAGACAATAATGGGCAAAAATCGAAGAGAGAAAACATGGAAAATCTGGTGTATTGACCTTGGACTGTGGCATCTAAACAGCATCAGGTTATATAATATCTTTGAAACTTGAAAAACTATGGGCAGCGTCTGCTGAGGATTCAAAAGGGCAGGGTTTCTGTCTCTATACATAATCATGGGGGGAACTGGGGGCATCAAAAGTAGCTCTGTGAAATGAGCAGCATGTAAGTTTACTTACCTTGCATCATTTGCAAGCTACAGAACTCTGACCCATTTTATTTTTAAAAAATAAGTATGTGGTAGACACAGCCTTGGGTGTATATATATATATATTTGCTCTGTTTTTGTAAGGTCCCTTGAATGATTTCATGGCAGAAAGAAAGCAGGAGGTTGAAAACCTTTAGGAGTTACTGGGCATTCTAGAAGCTTGAGATGCTCTTTAGACACACATCTCATCACATGCTTAAACTGCTTCTAGCCTCTTAGCAGGCTAGTAACTTTTGTGGGCTTATATTGCAACGCTTTTCTAACAAATGGAATAGGCTACTTGTTTTCCCACAAGTGTGTTTTGGAAGGGAAAATAATGCTATGGATTTATTGCTTTCCTTCCAGCTCTTGGAGAAGGCAAGGACAACTTTATTCAGTGCCCGAGGGAAGCCCTGAGGTGGGAAGAAAGGAAATGCCTCATTCTAGAAGAGATCCTGGCATATCAGCCAGACATCTTGTGCCTACAGGAAGTGGACCACTACTTTGACACCTTCCAGCCTCTGCTCAGCCGGCTGGGCTACCAATGTACTTTCTTCCCTAAACCGTGGTCTCCATGTTTAGACGTGGAATGTAACAACGGGCCAGACGGCTGTGCCTTATTCTTCCTCAAGGACAGGTTCACTCTCGTCAACAGCACCAACATCAGGCTGACCGCCATGAAGCTGAAAACCAACCAAGTCGCCATTGCTCAGATTCTGAAATGTAACGAAACCGGCAAACTGTTCTGCACTGCTGTTACTCACCTGAAAGCTCGCAACGGCTGGGAGAGATTTAGGTCTGCGCAAGGGGCCGATCTTCTGGAGAACCTGAAGAAGATCACCCAGGAGGCAGAGGTCCCTCTCATCGTCTGTGGCGATTTCAACGCGGAGCCCACCGAAGAGGTGTACAAGGAATTCTCAAATTCTAGCCTGAACCTAAACAGCGCTTATAAGCTGCTGAGTGCAGACGGACTGTCAGAACCTCCCTATACGACGTGGAAGATCCGACCCTCTGGAGAGTGCAGGCACACCCTCGATTACATCTGGTACTCTCAACATGCCTTAAACGTGAATGCTGCTCTCAGTCTCCTGACTGAGGAGCAAATTGGACCCAACAGGCTACCGTCTTTCACTTACCCCTCAGATCACCTGTCTTTAGTATGTGACTTCACATTTAATGAAGATCCTGACAGGCTTTTATAAATAGGTGCAAGTAGCTGGATGTGTGGGTGTGTGGTTGGTTTTTTATATTTAAAAAGATGTACTGTGTTTATGCAGTGGCCTTTTAAAATGGGCTTCTGAAGACTTCAGGGGGGTGGTTATTTATGAACGGAGAACTAATGGTTTTATTTTCAACTCTCTTGTCGAAAGACACTTTTGTCATTAAACACCTTGCTGTGATATTAGAAGAAAAAACAAACAAACCAACAAAAAACATGGCTACTTAAATTTGAGGCATGCTTTATGTTTTCACCGTCCCCTGGTTTGGAGGACTGATTCTGTAACAAATGCAGATCTTTATTTGAAGACCTTTGCTAGAGCAGTTGCCCTCATTGTAGCATGGTTATTCTGTATTTGAACGAAGTGGGCCAAAAGGGTATCACACACGATAGGGTGTTTTTTTCAATATTGCAATTAAAGATGTGCTGAATGACCAAACTTTGGTAGTGTAGGACCCGTTACATTTTGAACATGTAAAGGACTATAGCACTGGTATTAGCTAATTAAAATATTCCTGAACTTGCACTGGATGATGTCTCTTTCCTGAGTAAATTGAGGCAAGACTGGTCAACCTTAGAAGCGCTATTGAGCTTGCAACCTTTCCTGTGTTGAAGCTGCCCTATTCAAGGGAGAACGTGCCAATTTCCTCTCTGCTTCACAGCGAAGTTGTTTGGGAAGAAGTTTCTTTGCAGAACATTATGGGCAGCAAGAATTCCCTAGGCTACCACAGTCCCAACCTGAATTGAGAGACCTCCATCTGCTTTTAGTCCCCATGTCTTGTTGAACTCAGGAGAATCTGCCTTCAACTTAATATGCCTAGGAATGTGCTGTCAACCCACAATCACCAAAGCTGGCAAAGCCACAATAGCAGCTGTAAACCTTAATCCCTTCTGAAACCCTGAAGGTCTTATGGAAGGGAATGTGAACAGGGACAAAGCTGTTTCCTCTTAATGCCAGGTTACCAAGTGGGAAGGCAGCCCTCAAAAATAGGTAGGAAAGGAGATGTCCTCTCTTCTCCATACATGAAGGACTGTGGCTCGTCTGCCCAACCCAAAGTCTTTTCCCACCCGTGTTCAATGCCAGGTTTCCCTTTTTTCCCCCTTTCAGGTGCCTGTCTCTTTCCCCTCATTCTCTTGAACAACTTCCTTTTCGTACTCCGTCTGTGACCCGAGTAACTTTGTCAACATTGCATAGCAACCCTTCGAATTAGTGCAGGAGTCGGAATGGCGACCAGAGACCCTGTGACACAGATGGGCAGTTGAGCCAATTACAGCTGAAGATTTTGGACTGCGTCCAGGGGTGGCGTTGCCTGTGTGGAAAGTACTTTTACTGTTGCAAGGCAGGAAACAATATTTTGTTTGGGGATCCCTGCTACCCACTTAAGACCCCAATTTTGAACTAGCAGGTGCCCTTTCCACCAAGGTAAAATCACCTTTGGATTGTCTTAACAAACCACTACAGCTAACACAAAATCTTTAGCCCATTACACTGCCACTAGTAACAACTTTGGGGCTTACATCTTGACTTCCAAGTAATTCAGGGAATTCATAGTGCTAACGTGGAGTATTGGCTGCTTGTGAAGACACTGGAAAGACCATACATGTTTAAGATGAACTTTTAAAATAAGATATACATCTAATAAGCATGTTTGATGCTGCCTAACATCTGCGTAAGGCTGTTAGCCAGAAAAGAAAGGGTCTTGGCCTGTGTGCACTTGATTTTAAAACAAGAAATTAAAATCTGCTATTTGGGATTTTGCTGAACTGACTCTAGCAATGGTGTCAAAGAATTGTTATGATGTGTGTTCTCTTTGCCCAACAGTAAAAAAAAAAAATCAGGACATGAACTGCACAGTTAACAGTGAGTTACTTACAAAAAAGGGAAAATCCTTCAAGGGAGACTCCATTAGTAAAGATACTGCCCTAATGTATTGCTTGGTTTCCAAGGGAAGGGAATTCTCCGCTTAGTTCAAGCTTGTCTGTGTAGTTCCGAACCATGGATTGTTGAATGTCTTCAATTAAATTTGCAAAAGCAAGAAAACTAGATTAAATTATTTTCCCTTTTAAAAGTAAAGTAGGATTGTCCAGGCCTACTAAACTGCTGAAAAGCCACTAAAGTATTGCAAATAGTCCCTGCCGGCAGACTTACAAGAGGGCTGGGAAGAAAACAAGCAAACTCAGGCTCCCAGTCTTAAAAGTGGCCAGTTTGACTGGAAACAGGGAAGGAACCAAATTGCAGGCGATTGGGCTCTGCCTTTCCCTCTGCTACGGCTTGCTGAAATAGTCACTATTAGCCCTGTTATTCGCCCCCTTCCCTCACTTACACTGGGAATGGCACCAGTGCTTGTAGAAAACCTTGCACCAAAGCTGATGCAGTGCAAGGCGGGTTTCGTACATACATCCACAAAAAGTTGCAAAATATTATTAGATTGGCTTTTTGTTTTCTCATATAGCGCTCCCAGCATACATATTCCTTATGCCAGAAGGGCTGCTGCTGGATTCGGCACATTTAGAAAGGGAGATGGCAAGTCGCATTTTCAGTGAGACGTAGTACAGGCATGTCCAACAAGAAGTAGGGTGTGATCTACGATCCAGTATAAAAACTGTCAGTAATCTACCACCCAGGGATGGGTGCAGGGTGGGCGGGCGATGCCGATCCTGCCTCCCTACACCACCACCACCACCCCAAAGAGAGCCACTCAGGCGATCCTGATGCCGATCCTGTCTTCTCCCCCTGCCTCCCTCCACCCCTGCACAGGCGATGCTGTTGCTGGTCCTGATCCCGCCTTCCCTCATCAGAGACCCGGCTCCTTCTACGCCCCCCCCCCCAGCACATCTCTCCTCAAACCGGCTGGGCTGTGGAGCTCTTTCATGCCCGCTTTGGAGCCCTTGTCTTTTTGGCTGTTGAGGAGCACCCTGTGCTCTGGCTGCCTTGGGCCCGCAATCGACCCAGATCAAGCCCGTGATTGACTGATCGATGGGTTGGACATGTCTGCTATAGTACATAGGTACTTTCAACAAAAATACATTGCGCTCCCAAAATGATTTCCCTTCACAGGTTATAACGAATGCTGCTTGTGTGGTCAAGTGTTGCTGGAAAAACACACAGAAGAATGGGAAACACCAGAAACCTCCTCAAATGGTCCTTGGTATCTTGAAATAGTTGTCTCTTACGTTTAAAATTATTAAAATTATTCTGCAGCAGTTTTCCACTGATGCCTCCTGCTCATGTTATGAACTGGGTATTACGGCTGTACTGATTCTGTTCCAGTCTGCCGCCAAACCACCCAATTTTCTTCCCTCCTTTCACAGTTAGCGGTAAATGTTTTGGGCTAACTGCTCCCTCCACCACCACCACCACATTATCCCTACTAATATGAAACCAAGCCAGTAAACACACAGGCCACAATTCACATATCAGAAGCAAGACACTGTGGAACCTGTTATCTCTTGCTACATTTTTCATAGCACAATAAGCTAAGCTACTCCACTGCTTGACACTTCTTCAAATTATGAATTTATAGTTTCAGAATAATGGAAGAATGAAACTGCTGTACTGTGTTATCTGCATGAACACCAGAGACTTTTTAAAAAAGAGAGACTAAACTTAAATTTCATGTTTGTATTTCAGTAAAACCTACTTGAATACACTTTGAAACAAGAGTACAACAAAATAGAATATACTTTAAATGTTGAATATACAAACTATTATAGTTCATTCTGAACACTGGTACTTCCCTCTAACTTTAACTAAAAAAAATGTACAGGCTCTTTTAACTACCTGACAAGAGTTCATGCCAAGCGTGACCTTTCAAGTGACAGAGTAGAAGCTGAAATTGAAATGTATGCACAGATGTCGAGGCTAAGTGGGTGACCCAGGCCTGCGGCAGCAAAAGGCCACCACAACCCTATGGCCACTTTGTCCACAATTAAGAAACTGACAGACTTAACTACCATACAAAATATGTTACATGTAATCCTATAACAATACTGTGCTAGGTATAAGATCTTTAAAAAATTGTTTTAATAAAAAATGCTTTACACAAACAAGCCATTAGCTTATTTCAAGAAAGAGAACTGAAAATCAGTCTAAGGCTTTCGTTTTAAATCTGCTTAAGCTGTATGATACAAAAATCCCTCTAGATCTTCGTCTTCTTTTAGAAGCTTTTTAATCCTCTCCTTTAATTCACATTCTAAAATACCTAGTAGCAGAGTTATTCACATAGCACCAGTTGAATTCTGTGAAGACACAGTAATAATTGCTGGTATGCACATTAGAATGCATCAGATTTGTCATGTAACAGTGAGACTCTTTCCCGCCGCCCTTCCCAGAGACATAAACCAGGAACCCTTCACAGAACCAGCTTAGTGTTCCATGCCTTAGTGTAACTTGATAATGCAGTGAGCCTCGAGCCCCACTCGACCCCTGAATTTTTCCTTATCAGCTTAGCAGTTTCCCACTTTGCAAGAGGCAATTGTGTCAGCGTGAGGATGTGGTTCAATTCCCACTGAAACATGGGACATCAATTCATTTCCAGTAAGTTTCAAACGTATGCATAACTATTAACAATTTTTAAAATCAGTTTTGTTTTGTTAACTTCTTGATTGTGTCCATTTCCCTGCCTCCCTAAATATGTCAGTTTACTTAATTCCACAATGGTCTATGTAATTCATGTCCATAGCTGCCTTTGCTTCATTTCTCGCATGTTACCATCCCCTCCGTTTTCACAGTTACAGGGAGGGCAATAGCCGATGGCGTACTGACCACAACCACATGCGTAACCGTCTTGGTTCCATCTGCAGGCTTTTCTTCCTGAACAAGCTGCAGCGTCTTAACCTCCCGCTCCTGCTTCAAAGCCATTGCTTCAGATTTGACCTCTGGACCTTTTATGACTGCGCTAATAACTCTGGAAGAGGTATGGCTACCTGCCTGCTGGGCCGGCATAGATAGTCTCATCACGGGTGTCCCATGGGCTATGGACACAGGAGTAAGTGCTCTCACGGCTAGTGGCGTTCCAACTATGTTAATGCTTCCTGTCCCGGGCAAACCAGTTTTTGTTTGCAACTGGCACTGCGTGAGCTGCGTAGCAGGGATGGTAATGATTTTCGTAGGCTGCATTGTGATTTTCTCTCCATTTTCAGCAGATGCTGGCATCACTGTAGGGATTGTCTGGATTACGACCTTTGGGGTTGCTGCTGTGGTTGGGCTTGTGCTGGTAATCAACGGTGACCCTGCATTTACTGACTGCACTGCAACAGTCGATATTTTCTGTCCCAGAGACGTCATTACAACAGGCACTTGCATGGCCACACGAACAGTTCTGTCAAATGGATGAGGACAAAACATTGCATTAAGATCAAGCAAGCCGCATGGACAAATCTGCTAAATAAACTACTTGCCACAAATCTAGGCCTGTTTGCATATATACAGTGGTACCTCAGGTTAAGTACTTAATTCGTTCCGGAGGTCCGTTCTTAACCTGAAACTGTTCTTAACCTGAAGCACCACTTTAGCTAATGGGGCCTCCTGCTGCCGTCGCTGCACAATTTCTGTTCTCATCCTGAAGCAAAGTTCTTAACCTGAAGCACTATTTCTGGGTTAGCGGAGTCTGTAACCTGAAGCATATGTAACCTGAGGTACCACTGTACAAAGAAAAATGTTGTTATACCTATAAATAAGAATTGAAAACTGAAGACTTCCCCAGGCCAAATTTCATGCTTAAAATGTGAAGGCTGCTTGTGTTTCTACTCATTCTACTGCTTGCGATTCACAAGAGAAATACCAAAAAGGTTTGTTTTAAACTGTAGGACTAGACTAGATTAACAGTTCACCTTTAACAGATCCCGTTTCAAACTCCTGTGTTTGAATAATCTGTATTATGGATGTTGTACTGAGACCATCTGTCTATATTCAAACTGAGAATGTTTCCAGAAAGACAGGTACAATGTCAATGACACTGTACTAATTCCTCAAGCTTTGGCCTCACCAACAGGCAAATCATGCAGCACTAACCTGGGAGCGGTTGTTGCTGGAACGGTGGTTGTGGAACAAGATGTCATTTCATGCCCAGGTGAGGAGATATTCACCACTCTGGTAATGGGCTTCTCTGCTCTTGTGCAGTTCAACTGAGAAGCGTTTTTGCCTGCACGAGCAGAGGCTGCTGCTTTCAAAAGGTTTTCTGCAGAAAGTGACACTCGCTCCAATGACTTCTCATCGGTGGCGATTGATAAATCTTCACTGCCACATTCACTTTTGTCATCAATAACCACAATGTTTTTGGGCATTTCCTTGAACTGATATACAAGTCTTTGTCCTTCAACTTTTGCCAGAATTCCTCTTTGATAGTAGTATCTGAAGGGAAGGGAAGTACAATAAAGGTTTATATGACATTCATATGAAGCACCTTTTAAGTTTATAACCATCAAGAAACCCTTGTTGGGATGACCAGTCTTGTTTTCCCCATCATAAATTAGCTATCTTTTTGTAATCAGCTTTGAGGTGGGGATTGTTAAAAAAACACTATCAAGCAGTATATATATTTTAAAAATAAATAAATACCCCTACATATGGGATAATAAAAAGCATGCAAGGTAAAAAACAGAACATTGTTTTAATAATTAATGCTGTTGCCACACAAGGAAAAAAAAACTAGAAACAAACTGGCTTAAAAAGCGAAATGCCATTTTATCAAATAAAATTCTCCAAAAAAAAAAGCCTGAAGTAAAGTTTCAAATCAGCTATAACACAGTGATTTGTTTAAAACAAAAAACTTCAACATTCTTCATCCCCCCCCCACCCCAATTTTCTTTCTTTTTACCTCAGAGCCCTTCCCATTGTTTCGTAGTTCATATCAGGCTTGTTTTTGTGTTTTCCCCATAGTTTGGAGACTGCTTTAGAATCTACAAGCTTAAATATGCCCTTCTCCCGCTGAGTCCACTTGATATATCGAGGACAAGTATTTTTGTCCTGAAGAAGGTCTAGAAGGAATTCCCACAAGTAGGTTGTATTTCCTATGATAAAAATATAAATAACAGGCCATTAATCTCTTTAAAGATCTCTAAAACTGAAGAAGAGCATTATATTCTTACACAACTAGCTATTACATTGGCCTATGGTATGTGAGCACTTGTTTTTGAAACTTGTAGAATGGGTTCAGCCCACATGTAAGGAGGACAGCTGTGGAAGCACAATTAAACTAAATTCTGGTAGAAAAGAAAGTAAAGAGTGGGGTTGGTTGCCAAAAATGTCCACATGATGCTAAATCAAGTTCTTTGCAGACACTAATGCCTCTTCCCTCCTGTCTGTGGTTTTTAGTACTGGAACTTCTGAGCTTCCGGGCATTTATTTTTTCAAAGGGTCTCAAACAAACTCTGTTCCTCCCCCAATAGCCAATCCTAACGATCTTATCAGGAGTTTTGGGTGATAATGAAGCAGGATTACTGGCAATGGTGTGTTCGTCAAGAACAAACTAATCTGGCTCAGCTCTGAAATATTTCTTAAAGGATTTTTATTAGAAAGCCTGAAGAATATAGTTTATCACCAATATATCTTTTTTCTGAAATCAATATATAATTCACTCTTCTTCTAATTTTTGTTAAACTTCCAGCTCTAACCTTGTTTTACATCTTCCAACTTTAACCAAGACTTCTAAGCAGCAGGAAGTTGTCAAGGAAAGATAAATATTAAGATAACCAATTACCACCTTGAAGTTCTAGACATTCTACATACTTACTAGAAAAAATATTTCAAACAACTATACACTTGAATTTTACATAAATTTCTCTTTTAAGTCCCTAAAATATCAGAATTCAGAGTTCCTGTGTAGCTGCCGGTTATTTTGTGGAAGAGTATCCCTGTTGAGATACAACCAGTGCTCACGCTTTGTACTTTCCAGAAACAATTTTTGTTCAGACAAGTTTTTCTAGCTAGAAGCAAGTTTCTGCCTTGCATATTAAGTCTGTATTGTTTTTAAATCTAGTTAGTTAGTTGTTTGTGTTTATGGCATAGTTGTAAATCACTTTGAGATGCATGTAAATAAGAACATCATCTTTTTACTGGAAGTTCAGTAGGGGGCAATCTACCACTAGAGTCCGTCTCTGAATACACAAGAGTTCTGCTTCCATGAGCTGAACATATTGTGCAAGGTCACCTCAAATAAACTGAGGGCATGCACACATATTATATACTTTTACACACACTACTAGGGAGATGGTAGCAAAATGTGATTTCAGAACCACTTAGGTTCAACTAACAAAGAAAAGTTGTTTGTGAATTTCTGAATGTTCATTCTGGTCCACACTCACTCTTACTCCCTCATACCGCTCCAGCACTAAGAGGATATTCAAAACACGACAAAATTAACTTCATCTGGGCATTGAGAATCACCAAGTAGCAACTCAAGCAACCTTACAGAGGAAAATAATCAGGCATTAGCTAAAGGGAGCAATGACAAGTCATCACGTGAGATTAACACACCATCACAGATCAACCTTAATATCACATTATAAATGTTATTCCATCCCTAAAAAGTTTTTTAAAAACAACCACCACCACCTTTGGCCAGTGGCAAGAAAGCTGTAGCCACCCATATGTCGCTGAACAACTCTTGGGCTTGGGTTGCTATTATTGATACTAAATTTTTGTATCTTTATTTTAGCTCTTATGATTTATGTGGAAATTGTTCGATATGGTTGTGTACTTTTCAATGTTTTACTTATTGTTTGACCTAATGGTCAGGGGTCCCTTTACCTTTACCTACTTATTGTTTATGACTGATTTGTTATGTTTGCAATTATGTAATTTTTAAATGCCTCGAGCGTGGCTTTAACTTTGGGAAGGCAGCAAACAAATAAAATGACTGACTGAGATAACTCTCATCAGTCCCAGCCAGCGTGGTCAATGCTCAAAGATGATGGGGTGACTGGACCACAAGTCCTCCCACTTGCTCAGCGTCAGGCTTCTGGAATATCACTCTCGTTTTTAGCAGCACAAAAAAGGAGCAGGCCACAACAGAACGGTATCTTATAAGAATAGCAGTCCTGTGCCTTGCAAATATCTGAAGAAACTCTCCCAAACTTAAGACAGGACTACCTCAGTCGTCTGCTGACAAGTTTTAAGCCACATATTTTCCCTAGGCACAGCTATTCAACCCACTATGACTGAACAGGAACACAAATACTCGGCATGTCTCTAGCTGCAGTGGCAAATCTGAAGTGAGCAGCACACCTTCCAGCATGTTTGAATGAGTGTATGTTCAATTCCTACTTATAGAAGGTACCTGGTGCACCAGAAATCTAGCAGCAAATAAACAGTTTCATGAGACACATCAACACATTTACATTCAAAAGAAAGGTTGCAACCATTCTTAATAGAGCATTAAGGTATTGTTGCTACGTAATCAAAACACTGAAAATATTAATACACAAATAAAATAAACAATATATTTATTTATTTTTAAAATTAAATTACCTTTGCCTTCTCTTGGCTTCTTCTTTATACTCAGGTCTGGAGACGCACTGGAAATGGCTGGTGGCACTTGGGTTTTTGGCTTACGGCCAGCTGCAAAAACAGTTGGAAAGACTGAAATATGCACAGAGAAATGTTTCCCAGCTTGAGTCCTCTCACAGCTTAGGTTTTCATTCAAATCTAAATAATGGGCCATTATCTGGCGCTACACTGAGATGCTGGCAACATGTCTCACAAATCATAATTTTATCTGATGTTGAGTTAAGCAGAATCTCCGTCACACTTACATGTTCTAAAAGAATTCAAACAATTAAACTAACATGATAATCATTCCCCTTGTGTAAATGAATTATATGACAATGATCCATCCATGAACATAAATGTTATTTCTATGGCATAAACCCCTTCCACAAAATTTCTAAGACTTTTATAGATCTGTTGCGAGGCTGGATGAGATCCATTACGTACTACATATGTACCTTTCTTTTTCTTCATTGGCTCATGGATCTCTGGAGATGTTGGAATAGGAGATGTATCCATTGGTTCAGACTCCTCAGTTGATACCTCCACTACTGTTTCTGTAATGACATCTGGCCTCATAGCAGCATGAATGAACTCTGGAGTTGATACACAAGGTGGGACAAAAACTTCCACTAAAGAAAGCAAATAAATAAATAAGATTAGGCTTTGGCTTAAATCCAACAAAGAAACTGCCGTATCATTTGAAGAACAAAAACAAACTAGTTTCCCACATGTATCACAATACAGGATAAGATATAATACAGTAAGTAACAGAACTGGAGGAGTTTATTCTTTGCTTTTTAGGCATTACTAAACACTTGCTTCCCATAAATGTTCGTTTATATGAAATATTCATATAAATTCAACTTTCGAAATCACCGAACCCTGTACTTTTCTACATTGTTTCCATTATACTTTGCATATGATTTGTAAATTGAGAAAAAGCAAGTAGTTGGTTTTCTTTTCAGAACGAAACCCAGTTCACGATTACATGGGTTATGTCTCAGTCTCAAATAACCATTGTAAAGTACAATTCTTTAATAAGTCATTTCCCATCTTTTTTGAGCTTTGTCATGTGAATTTGAAATTATAGATCCGCAAAAAATGTTGCAGTATGACATGCCAGAGGACAATTATATTTCCAATGTCCAAATTCAATTTAAACCTGCCTGTTCAAAATCTCTTCAGTAAATGAAAGAAACCCAAAACACCTGAAAACATGCTATTCCACCACCACCATCAACCTCAACAGGTTTTATGGACCGATTGATTAGCTTGGGGGGACAATTTTAATGCCCTGTCATTCTATGCAACCAAATTAAATTTACAAATAATCATCATAATAAAACCGTGAGTACTAGTTAGCCGTACAGTACAAATCACTAAGATAGTTTGGAAGTGACCTACATGCCTTTCCTTCCCAGGTCACTTAGTATTGGAAAGTACTGTACCTGGATCAGGCTCAGAGTGGTGGTTGCTTCAAACAGATTAAAGTAATTATTTATATAGAGAAGCACTTTTGTGTAGGGATTGCACAACACTGCTGCCAACACATGCAATATGTAACTTGTAGCCTAGTCCTTAAGAGTATTAAAAGCTTATGAATATATCCTTCAGGGGAGCAGACAGCTCTTGGCCCTGAAAGAAGCACACTCGCAAGTTAAACCTCAGGTGCAGTTAATGCAAATTAAGCCACCGTTTCAAAGAGGGCAAAAGATTGATTTGTTATTATTGACATACCTGGAGTTCTAGCATCTCTTAAGCAGGTTGGAGATTCCATATGAAGCAAGGCCTCTGCTGCTTCAATTGTCTTATCCGAACAGTGCACATTGCTGCCATGTACAGATGCTTCCACTGTGCAAAAAACAACAACAATCCATCACACAAGTAGATTTGGTTCATTGTTTTTTTCTATTCTGGCCTTAAGATTTGTTGAAACCTTACAGTCCTATCAATTGGAGCTTGGACACGAGTTACAATTGTGCCTTTCAATCTGGCTAGTAAACCATCTGCATTAAGACTTTGCATTCTCACCAATTCACTTGTGTGTTCCATTTAATTAAGGTATTGATAGTCAAAATATTAACAAGAAATCAGTGCTTTGTGAAAGTTAGCCCATAATGGTGAGGAAAGATAAGAATCTGTCCCACTGCATGAAAAAGGTTCTCCACCCCTGAGTCTTCAATCAGCTGGCATCACTACTACTTACAGCTTCATCTAACATCAACTCCAGAGAAAGCTTGTTTTCTTTTCTGTGCAGCCAATTATTAACCCCCTATAAGCCACTTATACAGGGTCACTAACATTTGAGGACCCTGGGCCCATTTGAAAATCTGAAAAATTATCATGGCACACAACTTCAAAATGGTTCATAGTGTGATTGCCACCAACTTGGGTGGCTTTAAAAGAGGATTAGACAATGTCATGGAGGATGGGGCTATCAATGGCTACGAGACATGCTGATAGTTGTGTTCCACCTCCACATCTGAGGAAATACTAGTTGCTAGGAATCACATGTGAACAGAGCTCAGGTCCTGTTTCTGCGCTTCCCATGCAAAACTGGCTGGCTGTGAGAACAGGGTGCTGGGCTAGATGGGCCTTTGGCCTGATCCAGCACAGCTTTTCTTATGTTCACCTCCTTCCCTTCCTCTGGATGCCTCTTGGCCCTTGTGTGGCTCAGAGGCATTCTAGGGCAAGGAAGGAAGAGGCTTGAGTGGCTGGAGGTCTGGGCTAGTCCAAAGGAGACTGTGGGCTCTCCTTCCTTGGATGCTTTTAAGCAAAGGTTTGATGGCCATCTGTCATGGATGCTTTAGCTGAGATTCCAGAATTGCAGGGATTTGGACTAGATGACCCTTGGGGTCCCTTCCAACTCCGCAATTCTATGATTCTATGCTTCTAAGTGCAAAAGAAGCGGGGGGTGAGAACACCACTACATTGCTATTTTGCATACTAGTTCTACTTCCCAGCAACGTCTGGTCAAGTATTATTATTATTATTATTATTGGTGGTTGTTGTTGTTGTTGTTGTTGCTAAATCTGTATCCCACCTTCCCACTAGCTGGTCCTCCAGGATTGTGCTTCATACGTGATATGTTTCTTATTTTTTTTCCATAAAGGGCAAGAAAAGAATGATTGTTGACATGAGTTTGGTATTTCTCATTCAAATTAATATTGCAACCTTATAAATTCCGCAATAAAAGAAGCCTTAAAGTGATTGCATAGATGTATGTAATAGGATCTTGCCCAGAAAACACAACAGGGGGAAATGCTAGATTTTTAAGTAGTGATTGTGATTTTATAAAAAGGCATTTTCTCTTTTCCCCATGAAGATTTTATAAACCAGCAATACATAGCCACCTGTTGAGTATCATCCACACATATTAAGGTATACACACTCTCTCTCTCTCCAGTTGCTTTTTCCATTTATGGAAATCTACTCAAAGCTAAACCATTCCAGCTCCGCTGCCAGCGTCTAATCTATCTTTAGAATAACTACAGTCACCTATCTGCAGTGCCAGTAAGCTAATGAGGATTCAAACCACGGTTTCTTCACTGGAAGTTCCTGAAAGCTATCCAGTTACTTCAATATTCAAAATTAAATTAGGGAAGAGGAAGAACATTTTTTTAAAATGCTTCAGTCACCAAGACCCAATTCACACATATGGTGGCTGCTTGACATTGCAAAAATAGCAACAACCTTTTTTTCAAAAGAGCTCACCACATGACCCAGCCGCCACTAATAAGGAAAACTGGCTGTGTGAATCAGGCCGTAGCACTACCGACAGGAAAGGCTTGGAAAAACACATAACAATAATAAAGGGGGGTGGGGGGGAGAGACCAGGAATACATGTCTAAGTCATCAGATAAATGCCACAGCCTGACTGTGGGACCTGAAAACGTAACTCCAGCACAGATATTAAGCTTGCTGGTAACAAGGGACATGGCGCTGCTTGAGTCCCCATCTTTAAAACCGGGCGCTTGCAAAGGTTATAAAGTATTTTTGTAAGTACCACAGTAATTATTAATCAATTACCCTGTGCATCCAGAGCTAATTAGCAAGAAATGGGAAAGCAAAAGATCTCTCAAGTACAGTGCCCTTAGTCCCAGACAAAGACATCCATTAGCCTGTACACTGCAATGCTTCATAAAACCTACCATTTCTGCTGTAGGGTTTGGGAATGAGATAGGGCTTTAGGCACATGCTATGGGTTACTTCTCAGATACTGCACTAAGAAAGAGGTTCACCTTCAGATTGCTTTTAGTCTTTCTCTAAGCAGCAGCTATTACTAAATGTAAGACAGCGTACAAAGGAATAAACTGCAATTAACTGTAAAATATGTGGAAATCAACCAACCTTGAAGTTAATTGCCATCAAATTTAGCACATGCACAATTCCATTCCCTCCCGCTCCTTTCTAAAGCATCTTCAAGAAGAGAGAACAGGAAGACTTAACATTATAGAACATTCAAAACTAAACTATAGTACAAATTCTCCAATATACACATCCTCAAACTATACTGACCCAGGCAGTTTGAAGCACTGGCAAACAATTTGTGTAAAAATTGAAAATCAGGTGTAGTACACCCAACCACAATAAAAAAAGACAAACTGCACCAACAAAGCCAAATTCTGCACACAATCTGGAAACTTGCAGAAATTTATCTGCAGAATCTAACAGAGTGAGAAGAGTGACAGCATAGACTGGAAGTCGTGGAAAGGGAACATAACACCTTTGTGCTCTTTCTCTTAACACTGGAGAGCTACTCAAAAGCCTATTTCTGGGGTCTAATACTTAAGCAGAATTTCATGGGTATGAGCATGACAAAAAGCACTGGCAAGTGTGGGGAGGGGCTTAACTCACTGATGAGCATATCTTCTCCTGACAGCCACCGGCAGCAGCAAATTCCCCCACTCACCCATCACTTCCTCAACGAAAAAAAGTGCTGCATCTCTTGGCGTGTTTTAGAAAAGAAAAATAGTGCCCACTCCATCAGAGCTCTGGGAAGCAGCAAGTTTCGCCCCACTCCCCAAATTGTCCAAAATAACCTACCCATTTTGCTCACTAGGTAGCATTAGGCAAGAACACAAAACCTGAACAGTGAACTTCCTTGTTTACAGCTCAGGCTCTCAGCTCAGCTCAGACTACTATCTGACCCTCACTCTTATAGGTTACACCTTAAAGCAAGGGAGGAGAACCTGTGGCCCTCCATATATTGTTACTAACTCCCAGAATAAATATTGTAGTCCAGCAACAATTGGAGAACCAAAAGTGCTCCACCTTCCTATTAAAAGTTCCCCAGCAATGAGGTAATTATGAACTACTGTACTTGTGAAAAGCTAGCGAATACCTCACCTGGCAAGAACATGTTTTATAGAATTAGTAACAGAGTATCACAACTGAAGCAGACATAGAAGAGCTATAAGAATATAGACTTGTTTTCTGAAAACAAAGCCTAAGCCCTAGGCTGACCCTTCCTGTAGAGAACTTGTTGTTCAAATAAAGTTTTTATTTTTTATTTTTTAAAAGGTGGCATTATTCAGAAGGCATCTCCAAGGTCCAATAAACATTTTTTAAAAAAATTAAGTTGACAACTTGCTCTTAGCTTCAACTCAAGTTAAATATCTTTAAGAATTTATTTTTCCAAATCAGTGCAATGTTTCAAATCTCCAATACTTGTTATTTTAGTTTATTTTAGTTGATTTAGTTGAATGAAGCTATGGGACTTCATTCAAACATGGAATAAATCACAACTGTTAAGAACAACCTGGTGAGCCGCCATCACCCAGCTTCTCAGTGGTGTCCCTCCTCCTCCAACTGTCACTGGAAGAGATTCTGAAGGACCATTTTGCCCAGAGGGGAGTAAAGAAGCAGCAGTTACAGCTTATTCTAATCTAAACAAACAGACGTCATTTCCATTTTATTGTAACTTTTGTTTAAAAATTGATGCTTCTTGGTGTAATGCTCTTATGTAAACTGCTTTGAAAGACGTACCTGAAAAGTGGTATGTAACTACCATAAATAAATAAAAATCCTATCAAATGCAGTTTTTTATGCAATTAAATCACTTGATAGGCTGTGGTCTACTGCTCATCCACCCACCACACCCCGCCTTTGGATCACTCCTGGTACAGTCATCAATCATTCTTGCTGCCAGCCAGTAGTATTATACCATACTCTCCAATGATAATGTGCAAAACACACATCTGCACAGCATCACTGTGATATAATCAAACTGATGTCCATAAATATTCCAAGTGTTCCACCGGTGCCACATATGTCCAGATATGGTGGTAATATTTTTTCATATTTATCTAGAAATGTGGAAAGCTGGACAAAAACATGAAATAACAGTGGAACATTTGAAGAGGAAGAGCAAGGAGGGAGATGCACAGATATTGTTTGCCCAGCTGGACCTGCAGGTGTTATTTCTGACGTACAGTGGTGCCTCGCAAGACGAAATTAATCCGTTCCGCGAGAGTCTTCGTCTAGCGGTTTTTTCGTCTTGCGAAGCAAGCCCATTGACGGATTAGCGCTATTAGAGCTATTAGCGGTTTAGCGGCTATTAAAGGCTTAAAGGCTTAGGGGATTAGCTGCTAAAAGGCTATTAATGGCTATTAACGGCTTAGCAGATTAGATAAAGGGGGAAGCGAAAAAAATCTCAAGACTCGCAAGACATTTTCGTCTTGCGAAGCAAGCCCATAGGGGAATTTGTCCTGCGAAGCAACTCCAAAACGGAAAACCCTTTCGTCTAGCGGTTTTTCCGTCTTGCGAGGCATTCGTCTTGCGGGGCACCACTGTAATACAAGTATTCCATAGAAAAGCATAGACCTGTAGTTCCTGTCTTATGACAGCTTTTCCACGTATAGCAAAAATACTCAGATTTTTTAAAATCTACAGCTTTATCTTAAAATTGAGTATGAGTTTATTCTATTAAACCTTTCAGTATGCATAGCATTTTTACTCTTGATTTTGATATCTCAGAGTGCATGCAGTAGTATCACTTTGTTACACTGGCATTCATATCTTCTTGTCATGCCAAAGCAACCTTACTTAGTTGAATTCCATCCATGATACTGAGTTTCTACTAAGTTTTACTCATGAAGCTCATTAATTTCTATGAGTATCACCCAAGGACATATTTGTTGAAACATTCCCCAGGGTTACATGCAATGGGAAATACATCTTCTAAATCCACAGCAATTACATAAATGGCTAGGAAACCAGGCCTCTACCAGGGCTTTCCATTAGACCTGCAAGGGCATTTCAGCAAAGCCACACCTGCTGTACAGAAGGCACCAGTTACTAGCACAGGCAGTGCAACAATTATGTCTACAAATGTTCAACCAGTTCCTTCTCCCAACCCTAACTTGTCAGGTTGGTAAATATAAAGAGCAACTACTCCTTCATGACAATTAGCCCCATGCTTCAGCTCCATGGATATTGCATTAGGAACTGGGAGACTTGTTCAAATCCTGCTCCCCAGTAGATGGCACCATTCCCTATTCTGAGCTTTAACATCTGTCCAAAGACAATGTTTCTGTACAATTCACAATTTATCTGCATAGGCTCTTGTTACAGTAGTAACTATTTTGCAGTAGGAGGGACTGGAGGCAGGAAGTGACATGCTGGTAACTGAAAACAGAAACGGGCATGTGCAGAATGAAGAATCTCTGCTCTATGGGGTGGCTCGTGGTCAAGGGGGCTGCATTAGGAAGTAGATAACACTAGTTCGATTTCTGCTCCTGGGTGAAGCTATAGTCCAAGTCCCTCACTTGAGCTCCAAACCTGTGAATATGTACTCCCAAGTTATAGGTAACCAGCAGACACACCAGATCAAACTGATCGATTCAGTAAGCAGTGGAGTTAGAGCCCACATCGGAAAAAAGACACAGCACAAATTCTATACAAATCATTCAACAGCCATAAATTTGCTAGGTGGCACAAGAGCATTTGAGTGCAGGCTTGTCCAATTCATGGCTTTTCCAGGAGCTTGGATTCTGCTATTAAACTACTGCCAGTGTGGTTCTCAGCACAAATTTAGTGTGTTCTTGGGTATTTGGGGATAGGCAGCACATAGGTCAGTAATATCTAGTCCATATTACATCATACACCAGGTGCATTTTAAGCTGGGAACGAACTTTAGTGAGATAAAATCTCTTCACTAATATTTATGGCCAGAATTTCAACTTCCTAAGAGACACACATGTTTATAAGGCAGGTAGAACGCAATATCTTCAACTGACTGCTTTAGAAAGCCATATTAATAAGTTCTAGAGCCCCGAAGCCACTATTTGGCTGATTATTTCAAATATAGAAAATAAAACCCTACCCCACTCCTGGGTCTTTGTTCCCTAGCTTGCTTCCCAACCCCCATCCATAGGCAAGTATCCCTGTACCATTCTATGCAAAGATTCCACCCCCAGGCTACCTTTCTTCATTCTCATTCCCTCTATTCCCTGCCTCCTCCTCCTCCTCTCTCTCTCCACCTCCCTCCCTCCCTCCCTCTTTTTCCTTCGAAGAGATTGCAGCTCTTTCATTATAACAGCACACAACTCCTTTATATCTAGATCTAGCGTAAGATTTCTCCAGTCCAAGTAACCAGTCATTTCCATTGTGGAAGCTACATCATTCTGTACACTGAATTTTCCCCGTTAGTGTTCAAAATATTTATAAATGTTCTGTAATATCATAGTAGAAGTAGCTTATCTGCGGCAAAAAGCAAAGTGAAACAGCAGGCAAGTAACTATATCTTTCTCTGTAGTAGCAACTGGGTATGCAGAATGAGGATACACTTGGAAACCAAGCCAGGGGGAGGGCATTGAAAAGACCACATCTACCTTTGATTAAAAAAACACCATTTACGTGTACAGTATCCTCATGCTACAAAGGAACCACAGCAGCAAACAGCAGTGCACAGACATAAACCCCCAGCCAGCCAGAACAGAAAACTACTTCTACTGAACACCAATGTTGTTGGTGTCCTCAACACTAGCATGCACATGAAATAGGAGACGAACATATCCACACTGCCTCACAGGAAGAGTCGCCTGACTAAATAAGATACACAAAAAGTAGCTGAAGAAGGCAAAGAAAAAACAATGGCCTGTACATCCTTGAAATTCACCTACACTTCATCCTTTTTAATCTCATTCCAATGAAATGGATCCATAAAATACAGCTAAAAAAGTATTAATAACCACAGCTTTGAGGTTATTTGGAGGACCATAGTGTTCGAATAATAATTTTTTATGTTGGGATAACAAAACCTTTACACCCAACACTTGTCCTTCGCACAACAGTATGAAATTTTGTGGTGTTATTGCTAGAAACTCAATTAAAACTTGTGCGAAAAGCAGTGGTTAGTGGAAATGCAGTCACAAAAGCTACTTCGGGGTGGTGCTGAAGCTCTCTCTGTATCATCAACGACGGGTAATTAATTAAGAGGCAAGAACGTTCTGGTCCTAAATGTGCAAAAAATCCCCGTTACCTGTTATCAGATCCAGGAAGATCAGCGCTTCCTGCGCAGGACATTTATGAACGCTGTAAACCCCACTGCGACTCTCCTCTGCTCCTCCCCCCCCCCTCCGCGCTCACACCAGCCCCGCCCTCGCTTCCGTATTTACAATCCTTCCTCTTCCCTCCAATTCCGTGCTCGCATTGTCAGAGCCAGAAAGCGCTGCCACTCAACCTCTCCCTCGCTGCTACTGGCTTGAAGGAGCCTAGCCCCGCCCATTAAAGACGGTAGCATTCTGATTTCGAACATTCTTGACAGTTGATTGGCCGGCCAGGCCCGTCACTCCCTCCCCCCCCCCACCCCGCGCACAGGGGCTCCTGAGGGAGCTCGGCGCTTCCGCTATGGTGGTTGAAGGGGGGGGGGAGAAAATGAGCTAAATATCCTCGCTGGAGGCGGCACATGCCGTTCGCCCCTGGAACAGCAGCAGCAGTACCGATGCCCCCGTCTCCCCCCGGCCCCGGCTGCTCCCACACCCTTCCCAGCGCAAAGCAAAGTTTAGAGGGCAAGAAGCGCCTCCCCAAAAAATGAGGACCTTGAGCCCGTCGTGGCTCCTGCACCCGCCAGAGGCACCTCGGCGCAAGGAAACAATTGCTGGGGACCGGGAAGGAAAGGCGCTGCAGGGGGAGCCGCCTCTCCCTGCTCGGGAAGCGCGGCGTGGCTTGCTGCTTGGCAGGAGGACAAGCGCAACAATCGCCACACGCTCTTCCTGGTCCCGGGCTGCAAAAAGAAGCGCGGCGGCAGCGCCGCAACAGCAGCGGCCAAAGCACGCCGCCCGCAACCGCTGCCCGCTCGCCCCGGGCGCAGCGCGGTCAGGTTGCTAACGCGCCCAGCACGCCAAGGTGATCACTTCCTGGATTCGCCCTCCTCCTCCATTACTCCGGCGCCAGTGCCGCCCCCGGGAAGAGCGAGCGAGCGGCGTGCGCGCCTCCCTCCGCATCACCCGCCCTTCGCTTCTCTCTCCCCCCCCACCCCCAGCGCCTCCCTTCTCTTCTACCAAGCACCCCGCTCCCGCCCCGCCATTTCGCGGCGCCGCTTACCGGCGCGGATGAGCAGGTCGAGCTGGTTCGTGGGCCCCTCATGCAGGGAAGTCGCCATGTTTATGCCGCTGGAGCGAGCGGCGGCGGCGGCGGCTTCGCATTGACCCGCAGGGGCTCCCTGGCGCTCGGCCCGCGCGCGCGCGCGGCCCCGCGGCTGGCCGGCGCGCGCCTGCGTGCGCGCTCCCGCCCGCCCCGAACGCGTTAAGAGCCGAGCCAACCCGACGGGCGCCTCGGCCGGATCTATCTCCGCGCGCTCGTTCCCGCGCCCGGCCAGCCAACCACGCAAAAGGTTCCGCTCGGCTTCCTTCCTTCCCTCCCCCCGCGCGTGTAGCGGCAACAACGGCGGCGGCGAAGCAGCAGCAGCAGCGCTTCCTCCTCTAGCGGGGCACACACGATCCTTCCGCCGCCAGCCTCGCAGACAGGAAGTGGCGGGCGGGCGGGCGCTCGCTCGCTCTCCCTCTCGCCCTCCTCCCTCTTCTGCTCTCCCATTCTACAGCCGGGACAGGAGTCGGTCGCCGCAGTCACGACGAGATGCCGTTCTTCTTGGGTCGGAGGGATCCTACTTCAGTCGGTCCAGCTGGAGGAAGGCAAAATCTCTCGCCTCTTCCGTTATCTTCCATGCAACTAGGTGTCAGGGATGCCAACAGAAAGGAGGTGCCCGCGGCTCAAGGCAATCGACGCCGCCTCCAGAGCCGCTTTTCGTTCTGCCACTTCTTCGCCAGCCTCCCGCGCGTCCCCCTCCGGGCTGAACGACGCCTCTCTCTCTTTCTCCAAGGCGCCGCTTGAGGAATGGAGATAGCGCCCCGTGTTCTCTCCGGTGAGATGAGCAGCCTTGCATTGGTTCCTGCGGAGTCCCGAAAAGGCCGCCTTAAAAGGACTTCTGAAATTAGAGGGCAAAGGCACCCGAAGTCTTTTTGGACAACCCGACCGGATTTGCTTGAAATGCATTCGGTCCTGTCAACGGAGCAACTGCTGCCCTGATCTCAACCACATTGTGTAGTTTTCCTTAAGGTCAAAGTTTATTCATAAGCAGAGCTGCCAAAGAGGAGGAATATCATTTCCGCACCCCCTTCCATTTCAGAGGCCTTGCATAAGTTGTCAAACTGCCCTTGATGAATCCCACCTTGTCCGTTAGGATGCAAGTAATTGTCTTGCAAATGGCAAACTTCTCTGTGATCCAGTTTCAACCAGCAATATGCAGGCAGAAATGGAAGTGATTGGTTATCCCACAATTTCTTTAAACTATGTTCTTATAAGCATGTATTGTACTATAAAGAATGTGCCATAAGCACATCACAACCAAATTAGAGGGCAAACTATTATAACTAATAGACATTCAATAAACAAAACCACTTCTCAAAATTCGGCAACAAGTAGAACTCAAGAGCAGATGATAGCTGCGATCCAAATCACATTTATCTGAAAGATACTGAAATCAGTATGACATTTCAGAGAAAACATAGGCTATGAGGTTATATACACACTGCTGCTATCAGTACTGCTGTCTGCTTCTATTTATTAGGATTAAATCAGGGGTGTAAAGGTAAAGGTACCCCCTGACTGTTAGGTCCAGTCACGGACTCTGGGGTTGCACACTCATCTCGCTCTATAGGCTGAGGGAGCCGTTGTTTGTCTGCAGACAGGATGCAATACCCACAGATCTATACCAACAAAAACTGGGAAGATGCTATATTCCTTATGGTCCCATCCCATTTGGTTCTACACTTTTAAGTGTTCAGTAAACATGCAGAAGGACTGTTGCAGTTGAACAGCACAAATTTGGTGCTAATGTGGCTTGGTAGAGCTGAGGCCAGAATTGGAGACATGAACTCCAGCTTCCTGAAAATTTTTCAGTCATCAAGATAACGAGTCCAGTGTCTTTATTTCTTTATTGTTTGCAGCCCTGGACCCATCTGAGAGAAAGGGCAGGATATAGATTTAATAAATAATAAACTAATTCAGTTGCATTAGCACACCCAGGTGTGCTATTCACACATAAAGCTAAGCCAAACTATGGCTTAGTGAGAACATGTGCTCTTCCAGGGAGGAAGGGGCAGTTACTTTGTCCTCCCTGGTCCTTGTAACTTAGCACAGCATGACAACTAACCTAGGTTTGGGTTAGTGTGTTGTCAAATCCTGTCACGGCTAAAATGGCCGCTGTTTCTTTAATGCGAATAAAGCTGGGTCAGCATGACTCAGCGGCCTGCAGCAGGTTGTATATATAAGTGAGAAATGTTAGTTTGTGCTGAGGCTGGTGTTTGGGTTGGTTAGTTGGTTGGTTCTGGTGTGTATAGTTATTCAGTCGTGTTTTGCACAAAGACTTTTAAGAATAAAACTCTGCAAGGATATTCTCGTGGACTCTTTTATGCCAACAAGGGTCCGAGGACCAGGCTGAGGAGACAAAGGGAGGTCAGAACCCTTTCCTCCTTTTTGCTTTTTACAAACACTGAGAAACCCAGGTTTTGTGACTGAAGAAACCTTGGCTACAGCTCCTGATTAAGGAGACAGGTTAACCACTAGTCTGACTTTGAAAAACACTTTAAGGCAAACCTTGGTTTACCATGGTACAGAAACAAGAGGCAGGGAGAACTGATGCAGCAGTGAGCTCTCTGAGAGCCCCCAAGGATCAAGGGTACAAACATATTTTTGTAATGCTCTTTTAAAAATCTTGACTGTGAAGAAACAAAATTAGCATGAAGAGCAAGATTTCCAGATTAAAGGGTTTAAATCACATATTTCACCAGCAGTCCAAAAATTAACCTGAAAGATTCTTTAGAGTAGGATCCTGATAGATAAACATAATACAGTAAACTATCCACTACTTGATGTTGCAGATGGCAACCAGTTATTTACATCAGCCATAAAATCATTGTTATTTTTAAACAGAAAGTTTAAAGAGGAAGATATTTGAAAGAGGAAGATATTTGAAATTTGTGTTTATGTAAGTGGCAAACAAATGAAAGTCTGAAGTAGTTATAAGATTAGCTTTCCATAACAGTGGTATAAGTAGTAATCTGAAAAAGAAAGAAGTTTCTTTTAGAATATACAAGTTAACACTTTTTACTAAAAGGGATTAAGGGCTTTTCTAGAGCGATACCACCCCTGATTTAAAAATGCATTATTCATTTATGTATAATATTACCAAAAAGCTATACATACCAACACTGTTCTGGATCAATTTTATTCCCCCATCATGAGGTAACTAAAGAAGGTGCTCTTGCTTTAGATTTCCATTATTCATGCAGGTCTTCTACCTCCCTGTGGCAATAATATTCATTTATAAAGGTAAAAGTTTGTTTATGCCACAGGGAGGATTTCTGATGCAATGTGAAAAACACAGGAGAAGAATGGCATCCCAAAAATAAGTCACCACTCCCATCTCATTGTTCTGAAAATATCAAATTGACACCAATTCTGGCACAATTAATGAGAAAGCAGAGAGTTGCATTCCATATGAACGCCTCCCCAAATAGGAAGCCAAACGCTAGAATATCCTTAAGACATTTTCCAAGAAGCTGCAAACTACATTTACTTCACTTTAGGAAGAAAGTTTCCCCATTTGGATAACAGCAAAAACTGCCATCCCACCACCACTTTCTTCCAGTAGAAGCATTTTATGAGCTGAGTTCAGCTCACATGATCACTAGATCACAGCCACTGAATTCTTTCAGAGAAATATGTACATCCTCCTATTAGTGATGACTACAAAGGAATTTAAAATAACAGTTTGCCCTCAGCACAAAATACTAATAGAATTGGAATTTATATTTATTATGCAACAACTCAAGCATCAAGTGTGCTCATTTACACTCAAACCAACAAATGTTCAAATAATAATTTCCATGTTCAAATTAAATTAACCAAATAACAGAAGTTAAAAACATGCTTGACTACTTGTCCTGAACTTGCAACTTTCTTTGCTAGGACTTATAAATAAAAGAGGGAGTCAGAGGAGAGGACAGGAACAATTATATCAATGGCAAAAAAGTAAAGGGCCTAAGTTTTGTATGTCAGAAAAATATTTGCCTTCTGAGCCTCTAAATAAGCTCTACACACAATTATTTCATATTAACCAGGAAAGCTTTGAATGCAAAAGAATAAATCAAGACAAATCATAATCAAAAATGAAATAGTAAAAAAACCAGTGGTGGAACACTTCAATTTCACAGGAAAGTTAATAACTAATTTTTAAGGAGACCATACTGGAGTAAAACAGCAGCATGAATCTGATTAATTGCAATTCATCATGAAGTTCATTGCTGAATCAGGACAATGGATTTTTATCACACTAAAAGTGTTAATTGGCATATTAGTGTCATAATGTCTGTGTCAATGTATTATCAATGATACATGCCCATTTTCACCATCTGCTTTCTGCATTTCATTTCCCTCTGTCCTCAATGTTTACAATCCCCTGCCTCCAAACCATACTTGTAACTCACAAAAGCACTTCATTCTTCCCTGATTAAGATTTCCATGAAAGCTTCAACTCATCTTTTAGTCTTAAGGTGCCAGCCTGTTTGTAGAGATATTCATGATTCTCAGTTCTATGTAAGCCCACAGCTTCAAGTAGGCAGGTATGTTTCACTGCATCAAGCCGTTACTTTGATTATGTTCAGTATTCAAAAGGGAAAACACTAATATAATTTTTAAAGATTTTTTCTCAAACCTTAAAAGCAGATTGTGTTTTAGTGCCTCACAATTTTTTTTACTGTCCATGTTCTAATATGAACATGTCTTTTGGGCATGTGCTACAGAATACTCCTTTATTGCCCCCAGTGGCACAGTGGATCAGTGCATCTGGCTGTTAACCAGAAGGTTGGTAGTTCAAGCCCACCCAGGTAGGGATGGCTGTGGACAGGATTCCTGCACTACAGTGGATTGGAATAGATGACCCTTGGGATCCCTTCCAACTCCATTATTCTATGATTCTATACAATAAAACAGCACGTTCAAACACATTTTTAACTTTTGGAAGAACTTTTATAAACCCACTTAAGGTTCAAACATAATTATTTTTAGAAAACCTACTATAGAAAAAAAAGAAACCCCAAGCATACCATTTGTACACACCCAGTATTTCAAAGGAATGTATTTCTTTGAAAAGGAGCCACCCACTCCATGCCATATCACAAACTACTTTTGATATTTCCCTCTCAGTTTCATAATAAATTTTCAATACAGCATGCAGAAGTGCTGCTTGAGAAGCTCAAAGGCTCTCTTGGGTGTGCAGTTCTTTAAACGCTGGCCACAGTTATGTCAGAACCTATAACCTTGCTTCAGGCAGAAGAAATCTACTCTAAGAAACTGGTAACACCATTTGACCTAAGTGAAGCACAATAGTAGCTGTTAAAGATAGAAGGAAGTATTTTCCTTCAAGCGAGTTTTTCAGGATTCTTACTAGCTTACCTCAAAGCAGGAACTAAAGTGATGGAACTTTAGGGACGGGAAGAGAGAGATTTTAAAGGCCAACCCTGTTGTATCAGACCAAAGACCTATCTAGCCTAGCATCCTGTTTCCCACACTAGCCAACCAGATACCTATGGGAAGGACACAAGTGCCACAGCCCTTTCCCACTGCTGCTCCCTAATGACTAGTATTCAAAGGTGTGCTGCCTCTGTCTTCCAGTCCAAGGCCACAATCTAGAGTTGTGCATGGCTAGTTCATATAGCCATTTTTCTCTCTACCTCATTTCTAGCAGCATCCTCTCCATATATCACAAGCTCCTCTTTATGTCTCGAGAATTTTTGAAATTAGCATGGCACGTTGCATGATGGGACGAGGAGAGTGTTGGCTGGGACCAGGCTTGCTAGCAGGGGTGGATTTAGGATTGTGTGAGTGGTGCGCACACACCGGGAGCTGAGCCAAGGCGATGCCAGCTCAAATCCTGGTAAGCAAGGCACTGGACTTTGGGAAGGAGGTATGAGGCTCTGACTGGATCCTCCTTCTCAAAGCTGGGTGACTGTTTACCTGCCTTTGGGAGTGGGATTTTGACCTTGCACAAGACGCCATAATACCCAAAGTCCGCCACTGTTGCTGGACCTTGAGTAAATTACAAATCTCACCTAACTGTGGAATCTGGAGTATGCCATTTTGGTGAAGATCCACCAGCAATGCTTCTGAATGCCAGATGCTGGAAACCACAGGAGGCAAGAATGCTCTTCTGCTTGAATCCTGCTTGCTGGTTTCCCATAAGCATCTGGTTGGCCACTGTGAGAACTGAATGCTGGACCAGATGGGCCACTGGCCTGATCCAACAAGCAATTCTTGTGTTTTTATCCTATCAAGAGACCATAACTAATCACACGACTAAGTGAAAGGAATTAAACAGATATTAAATTGTTGGTACTTTGTTGAACTAGAACAAATCCAAATCTTACTAATGGCAATACATTTCCAAGCTAAGCTCAAGGTATTACTGTTAGTTTACAAATCCCTAAACAACCTAGATCCAAGTTACCTGAAAGAGCACCTTGTACCTTACACACCACTCAGATTACAGAAGTCACTTGGAGAATCCTTCCTGACTGTTCCAGTTATCACAAATTGACCTAAACATTTCATTTCTACAAAAAGTTTTAGCATAGTAGCATCAGTACTATAAAACACTGTTCTAATTGAAATCAGACAGGTACCTATATTTTTGATATTTCATTACACCTGCATTTCTTTGGTTAAGCACTTATAAAGAATGAATTTGATTCTGTGTCGGTCATTCATTTTGTATTTTATGATGTTATAAGAATTTTATTGTACATTGCTACACAATTTTTTAAAATGCTGGCCATTTATAAATTCACTCATGAATAAATAAATGCAGATTTATTTACTCATTGTACCAAGTCAAAATAGATTTATAAGCCAGCCATACTTTCTATGAGTACAGTAGTCTTTTAGCACATTTAAAACAGAAGCATAATATAGAAATAAAGCCACAAATGCCAGTGGAACTTTCTTCTCCATAAAGTATATTTACAGTGCTAAAAATCAATCAGAGAGCAACGAAAATTAAAAATATCTCGTTACAGTTTAGTTTATAGTCCTAATCAATTCACTGCCTTGCTTTTAACCAATACATTGAGTTATTAATTTAAGTCTTGCTTACACATTGAAAAGCATAAATGAAGGTGTATTGAGGATACCAAAGGAAACAGCTTTTTAGCACTTTCTTTATAAAAGTGCAAATCTCCACTCATAGTTAAGAGTTCATATTTGACATTTTCATTTCGTGTCATAAGGGAATGTGAAGTAGTTCCTACCATAGTAACAACACCAACTAGTTTTCCACCTCCCCTTCCCTTGCCCTCCTCCAAAAGCAGGTTGAACCATATTGACACTGATTAAATGAGAACTGTTGGCTTGATAGCCATTGTTTTCATTAGTAAAAGGAAAACCTCATAAATCTTACCCTAAGAGGCAAGCTATCTACTGGACTATCTACAGCTATCTACAGTATACAAACTGTAAAGAAAAGCATATCCTAAGCTTATTCAGATTTTATACAGGAAAGATAAGTTAGCATATTTGTGCAATATGCAGAGCAACAAGCCTAAAGACAGGATATTTTCTACTAAATGTATTATTATGGAATTATTTGAAAGGTATAATTCCTGAATCAGATCTGGAAATGACAGTTGATCTACTAATTGCAGCAGAAACGGTAACTGGCAAAGGAGGAAGACTATAGCACTGCCAAACTTAGATTGCTTTGAAAAAGCTGGAACCTCATCACACTAATGAATCTTACATATTCAATTTTTGCTGTGTTTGGGAATGATACCCTGTATCCATATAATTTATTTGCATTGTAAAATGATATAATAATGATGTTACTTGGTTGAGCATATATATATAAATTTTCCCCTTCAAGTGACCTGCCACCTTCCCATCTCCTTTTCATTAGCTGGTCCCATTAAATGGAAGGGGGAATCATAATGTGCAATTAAAACAGTAGTGATGCATACCAGCTGATTAATGTTTGCATCCTTAGCAAAAAAAAAAAGTAAGAAAAGAAGTTTACCTGTCTTCACAGTTTCTGTCTCGATTTCCTGTTCTTCTGCAACATCTTGAAGAAGGTAAGTTTCATCATCATAAACAAAGATCTGTGCAGCATATCCTTGTTCGACTCTGGCACTTGGTACTGGCTCTACAATCACTGCTGGATATTCAGAGACTGGCTCGTTCTCCTGTAGAGCACAGTAAGAAAAAGTGTTGCCCTCCTAATCCAAATAATCCCTTCCATTTTCCCTTTAGTGACTTGATGTCTTTCATAGAATATTAAATAAAAAGTATGTATTTAAAGGATTACAAATAAATTTGGGTATATCTGTAGGCAGAATGGTGTGGAGAGAGGGATAGAGACAGATACAATGTATCAACCACTATAGCAAGGCTCATCAGGAACACACCATGAGCCACAGTATGCAAACACTGTTGCATTTAATTAACAAGCGGCCTATCATTTCCATGAACTTTGGCACTTACCAAGATATATTATTACAGAAATAACTAGAAATGACATTAAGGGTTTAGTCCAAAGTTGCACAATTTAAAGTCCTATCAGTTTCAATGTGATAAACATGTAGCTCAGATCTGCGCTTTTCATCACTGCTCATTCCTTTACCTTGCCCACGTATTTGAATGTTTTTAACAGATGTGTGTAATTACCAACTTAGCTTGGAAGCAAGGTAGGCAAATTCTTGTTTTTCAAAAACTGCAGTAATTCTCATAGCCCGCATATGGCTTCAGGTACAGTGGTGCCCCGCAAGACGAATGCCTCGCAAGACGGAAAACTCGCTAGACGAAAGAGTTTTCCGTTTTGGAGGTGCCTCGCAAAACGAATCTGCAATGGGCTTGCTTCGCAAGACGAAAATGTCTTGCGAGTTCCTGGGGTTTTTTTTCCCTTTTCCCCCTCTTTTTCTAAGTCGCTAAGCCGCTTATCTGCTTATCTGATAAGCTGATAAGCTGCTAAAAGCCGCTAAAAGCCGCTAAAAGCCGCTAATAGCGCTAATCCGCTAATCCCGTCAATGGGCTTGCTTCGCAAGACGAAAAAACCGCTAGACGAAGAGACTCCCAGAACGGATTCTTTTCGTCTTGCGAGGCACCACTGTATTCAGTTCTAAATACCAAGTTATTTTAATGAATCTAGCACTTACATTCAAATAAATGCTCTGAGGTACATTCCCCCAAGTCAAAACCTATAATCTATCGGACACAACAGTTCTCTTTTCTCTCTGAGCATGAACTAGGGCATGATCCTCTCCCATTACATGTTTCATTTGTATCCACAATTAGCATTTACAAAGATCACATGAAGAAAAGCTGTACATCATTTTCTGACCTGGCCTTGAATTTGTACTCCATTGCTGTCAAACTCAAGACCTGAGCCTCCACTGTCAACTGCTGCTGATGTCATGGTGCATTCCCTGGGAAGATTAGAAGGCTAGTAGCAAAATATGTAAATCTTCTCAGTGATGTTAACTGGTAACACAGAAAGCTTGAGATACAGGAACTTCGTAAACCAAGTAGAATCTTTGCAAAATCAACCTTCTTCCCTTCTGGTGCCACAAATCCTGAAAGAGGGAGCATAAAAAACATTGGTATATGCAACTATTTTTAATGCTATTGCTTATAGAAATGTGTTACAACTGTACATGAAAATAGAGCATTGATTGACACTAATATGATCAAATAATACAGCTGTCATTTGTAAAATGTAGCCTTCCCTAATCTGGTGGCCTCCATATGTTTTGGACAAGAAGTCCCATCAGCCACAGCCAGCATGGCCAAAGGTCAGGGATGATGGGAGTTGAACCTGGAGGGCACAAGGCTGAGGAAGCCTGCATCTGTTTGCCATCACATGACAGTTCCAAAGTTTATACTTATGTGGAGAACTCATTCCCTTGCAATAAGTTTAACTATACAGAATTACTTCAATTTTCAGCTACCCTTGTTTAGCTTATGTTTTTCATGCTTTGTTATTATTTCAGGAGCTACATTTTCATAAACTGTTGCTTTTATTAAAGTCATACAGTAGCTGCGACCTGACCTGCAGACTTTTCAATAAATAAATGCCAAATTATTCATATCCTGTGCACACGAAACCAAGCAATCTTATCTAGCTACTGTTTGGTGTAGAGCGCTGAGCTGGATCTACTACTGATATACTTCATAAGATTTCCCCTATATTCTTACATATTTTTTAAATACTTTAATACCAACCTCACTGTCTTCAATGAAATTCTAATTACAAAGATTGTCATTTACAAAAGGGTAAAGGATAAAGGACTCCCAACACAAATCCCCGCCACCCCCATTGCAACTGCGTCAGCAGCAAAGAGAGGCTGTCTCCTCAGTATTAAAAAGGAACAGGGAAAGCAAACCTGGGCTCAGAAAGAGCAGGTGAAATAGGAATTTCTTCTGAACCCAATTCTCCTCACCTACTTGCTTCAGGAGCAGAAGCTAGTTGCCTCTTGCTGCTGAAGCAATTAAAGGTGATGGCCAAGAGGCTCCCATGAAGCCTGTTAGCACATCCTTCCCACTGTTGTCCAATCTGACAGTTTACTGTGTTGACTAGAGGAGAAGCATGCTGTGCAAGACAATTTCCTGTCACAGCAGGCCCAGGGCTAGTGTCTGTGCACTACCCTTTACTGCCAGGCATATTCCTTGGTAGCATGCATGAAGCTGTACTGTGGTACCTCAGGTTAAGAACTTAATTCATTCTGGAGGTCTGTTCTTAACCTGAAACTGTTCTTAACCTGAAGTACCACTTTAGCTAATAGGGCCTCCCGCTGCCACTGCGCTGCTGGCACACAATTTCTGTTCTCATCCGGAAGCAAAGTTCTTAACCCGAGGTACTATTTCTGGGTTAGCAGAGTCTGTAACCTGAAGCGTCTGTAACCTGAGGTACCACTGTATATGTACACTCCTTGTTTAAGGGAATTCAGGGTTATGAAACATACTACAATGAGTAAAGACTATCACCTATCCTGCTTCTCCTCCATATGGACATCCTCAATGTCCCCACAGCAGACACCTACTTTACAAAACAAAATAATAATAATAATAATAATAATAATAATAATAATAATAATAATGTCTGTGTGGAAACATTATTTTACAACTATGTTTCAGTTGATTATATAAGTATGCAGATTTCACTAATTTTAAGAATACTGTATTATACAATTCCATAAGTATACATTAATCAGAATGAACTGTTCCAGTTCAGTTCCCCAACTCCCAAATAACATGTATCTAAATTTCTCTTTTCTATCTCACTTTCACATAGTCACTTTCTTCCTATACAATTAAGATCCAGATTTTGAACTTATAGTGTTCTGTTGCAATTGTTGATTCCATATCTGACAAATTAATAAAAGCATATAGTTAATGGGGATGACTGCCCTTCTACAAAATTCAACAACAAGAATTGTATTAAATCTGGTTATAATGAATTATTTGGGAAGTCCTCAACATTGCTATATCATGAACAGTTTGTTTACACATCCCAAAATGTTTTCTAGTTTACGAACACAAGCAATCTTGTGGAATAAAGTAGCTCCTCTGTGATACATTTTAGAGGGTATGTATGAGAAGACACATGGTTTGAGAAGCACTGGACTATCTGATGTGGTGGACTGGCATTTCCCCCAACCCCAATATGCCAGGGACTAGTATCATATTTGGTCCCTGAAGTGTCCCATCCAGCCAGGGCAGCAATGGAGTTGTGGACCGGCAACCAATGCCTCCTGAACCATCACTGGTCCATGGATCACCACTTTGAGTAGCAATGACATAGCCTATTGCCTTGTACAAGTAATCTTGCAAAATTCTTTGGTTACAAAACATTTTTGAAAAAGCACCTTGGGCTCACTACAAATCAGAATGTTGAGATCTTATCTTCAATATTTTTAAAGAGATCTTAAACTGAAAACCAAGAGCACTTAAGAAGAGTGGCTAAAAGGAGCTGGAAAGGGTGAATTTGGTGTGTATCGCCCCCTCACCAGACCAGAAACAAAAAAGTGTAACACCTTGCAAGGTTGTTCTCCTGCTTTTATTTTGAGATTAGAATGGTACACAAGGAAAGTGACAAGTTGCAAGGATCAGAAGTTACATGAGAAGTCAAAGGCATTGCTAGGCAAGAGCTAAGACATTGAACCAACAAGCAACAAGCTCCCTACACCTTCCTTTTAAATGAAGGAATGCCCGCTGCACATCCTTTATCGTGGCAAGCAAATGGGCATTCCTCCTCATGGGCTGGCTAGCTGAGGTTTCTGCACACTGATGTCCCTGTGTTCTATGTGACAGAGATGAGGACGGTGCCAGCTTGGCATCATATTTACCCCCAGCTCCCTTCCCTGAAGGGGGAGGCACTGGAGGGTGCCCCTCAGCAGCAGAAGCTAAGGAGGTGCACGTCCCAGTGGTAACAGGAGAGACTTCTGAGAGCTTCCATGAGCAACTCTCAAAGGGCAGCTTTCAACCCCCTAACCAATTGGGACCCTCTACTGGATCAGATGTCTCTTGGGATTCAGTATCCATGACCACCACCCTACTTGGACCCTCTCCAGCATCCTCTAGCTTTCACTCCTCAAGCTCCTCCCACTCTTCAGGGTCAGACCACACTCTCCATCATACCTCCACAAACTCCTGACAAACTCACGACAGTTGGGTACTTCTGGAAGCAATGAAAGGGTTACTGATAAAGAACTCTAATGACCAAGCATTTAGCATCAAATTTGAATGGGAATTTCCTGCATAAGTTTGAATCCTATGTACAGTGCAGAATTGTGTATGTAAAACTGTGAAAAGAAAACTGCCCAGCATTCAACAATAGTGGAACTGCCTGAATCTTGCATTTTGTGACAGCCTCTTAGTCACCGTTTTCAGAAAGGTGTGGGGAATGATTTCTGTTTTCCTCTGACATCACTGTTTACGATCTCCATCCAGAAAATCTCACAGAGGTGTGTGTGTGTACACACACACACACACACACACACACCCTATCTGGAACTCAGGATAAAACTTAATAAAGTCAGTGCTTTTTTTCTAAAAGAAAATGTTTAGGGATACTCTCATTTTGACTCAAGAAAATCACCATTTTATAGTTCAAATTTGGAAAAATAAATACAGTAAATGGACAAAAGTTCAAAGATTTACAAAATGTTTAGGGGTCTGCATACCCCTGCGTCGTTCCCCCCCCCCCCGAAAAAAGCACTGCATAAAGTACATCTGAAGCCCACAAAAGCCCACAAAAGTCTTTAAGTTTCTACAAGGCTTTGTTGTCTTGTCTTGTTTGAATAAACCACAATTTAAACTACCGGTAATTGCAGGTCTATGCAGCAAGTGGTGGTTAGTTTAAACCTGGAAGCTGAAAGTTTTGATCTCTTCCTCTGACACATGCTGGAAGGTAATGGGAGTACAATTTAAGTAGCTTTGTTCACATCAGCAGTGCATTCGAACTGCTAGTTTTTGAAGCTGCATTCACACATTCCCCACAATTTATATCAGTCCTGTAGTTTATTAACAAATAATGTTGTTTGATATGTTTTATCTCAAACCAGCTTTAATCCAGCTAGAAAACTGAATGAGAAGCAAGCAGTAATGTGAAATACTCTAGCAGCCATAGCTATCGACGTTTCCCTTTTTAAAGGGAAATTCCCTTATTCCAAATAGGATTCCTCGCAAGAAAAGGGAAAAGTTGACAGCTATGCCAGCAGCTGTCACACATGCACAGGTGACAGCTTAATGTGAGTTCTGAGGGAGTTGCAACAGCTAGGGAACCCAAAACATCATCCATGTTGGGTGAAAACATATCTGCCCCATCTCTGATGTGACAAACATCTCTGATGTGACCACCACCACCACCATGCAAATGTGGCCTGAAATGTGGCCAGGGAAATTACCTCACTGTGTTCTAAGCTGCTAATGTGAACATACAGTAATGTATTTTGAGGTATACTTTTGGCCCCAGTTTGAGTGTCAATTACTCAGTTTGGGGGCAGCACAAAATGTAGGATTGGCGGCACAAAAGTAGCACAAAGCTTTGGCATCAGTCTGGAGGGGACCCAAAATTTTGGGGTCACATGTTAATCTATAGCCTGACTGGAGTTGTAAGGCCAGGAAGACTGAAGCAACAAAGGATGATTCTTTGAAGGTATGCTTAATTTTTAATGGACTGCTTAATAGTTTGCATGGATAATTAGCTGAGGAGAGAGATATGGCTACACTTTATTTGTGCAAAATCTGCTCCTAAAGAGGAAATAGCAATTTTAAAAATATGTGCTTCCAAATGCTACTCAGAAAGAAACTTGGAGAAGGTGGCTTCTATGCTGGAATATTAGCATGTGATATGCACAGAGTAAGCCCCATTGAACTCAGACTGACTTTTTTTTCCCGTATACTTGAATACGATCAGACTATCAGTAGGCAGGTAAAGATTTGAATACAAGAGCCTATTGGATTCCTTAGCCTGAGGGACAACTTCACATACTGCTGGAAAAGCATGCGGTGTTCCTTTTTCTTCCTCTACACTTAGTCTGAGTCTTAGCAAGGAATGATCCCTGCAGCTGGGACTCAGAGTGGTTATTAACCCATATCCTAGATTCTTCTGAAGTGTGAGCGATTAAATTTTGTCAATATATCATACAATACGTTTTCCTCTCCCCCTTTCCTGAGCAATACCCTCAAAGGGAAAATAACTGAAGTTATCAAGCTCCATACTGTTTACACTACACAAGATCTGTTGAAGCAGAAGAGATACAAATCAGATGTCTTTTATGGCTTCTGGTTGCCCCAAGTGATGCAAAGCCCAAGGTGAGTCCCTCAAGGTCAGCGACAACTGTTCTCCCAGTAAGTGTAATTAGCATTTGTGGGAACAACATCAAATTATTCATGACTAGTTTCAGAAGACTAAATCCTTTTTTGTAACTCAGTAGGCTTCAGTTTGCATAAGCCATTAAATTCCACTAAGAAATCATGCACTCTATAGGGGAAATAGAGTAAAAGTAATATTAACGTTTGCTTGGAAATACAGGCAACTTTCCGTTTATGCATGGGTTGCGTTTAGAGGCACCATGCACATCAGCGGGACGCACATAAGCGCCCTTGCTGTGCAGAAAATGGCACACATGTCAGCAATCACACAAATACTGAATGTGCACAAATAAAGAATTGCCTGTATATAAAAACTAGGCACAGATCAAAAACTCCTGCCAGACTCCAAGGCTGTTCCCATGGAAAAATTACAACCCGGAAGTCATCACAGGAAAAGCTACTCCCGCCAAAGACATACTATCACTATCGCCACCTCTGAGTTATCTGGTTTAAATTTCATACTATGTACCCTCCTCCACCTGACCCACTATGCACTGCTTCCAGACATTGATTCTGAACAGACATAGAAACACCTAGGTGTTCAGTGACTAAAATATAGTGTTAGATGTCAGCCTGTTGATGATGCATCATTCCAACACTGCAAATTATCTCACCCAATAGTTTCATATGGATGTCAAACAAAATCAGAACCAACACCAATCCACTTGGGACTGAGAAACAAAATGTCTAGAGGGCTGAGGTAGCATCCCTGGTAACCACATTCTTCATTTAACAGACACAAAAGATTTGAACCACTGGAGAAAAAGACTCATTACCCCATTTAAGAACTGAAGCCATTGCAAAACAGCATAATTAGCAGCATCTGCAACACCAAAAGCTGCTGAGCATTTGACTACTTTCAACACTCCTGCATTGCCTCAAGATGAAGATACTCTCCTACTGCAATCACATACTCCCAGTGCTTCTCCAGGAAAAGGGAAGCTAGATGCAGACAAGTCTTAAGGTAGTTAAATCATCACTGCATACTTATATATTTATTATTTTACTTCCTGTGTTTATGATATGCCTTGTAAATTAAATTATCTAGGCCAGTGGTTCCAAACTGGTGGTCCATGTAACCCACCTAGGGGATCTGTGTCACCATTTATATAACAAAAACTACCATAGAAATTTCAAAATTTCAAAAATATGCGATCCATGGCTTAGCTTTTTAAAAACAGGGCATCCACAGTACTTAGCTATTTGGGAACCACTAATCTAGACATTATTCATAATAAACATAAACAGTTAAACTGTACTGCTTGAGACACAAACCTGCATAAAAACCAAAAATGATGACTTCTTGAGAAAGTGACAAACCACTACCTTCTTAAGGACTAATAGATCACTATCCTGCTCTCTAGGGAGACATTACACAATCTATTGGTTGTTCCTAACTGACTTTAATATCCATGAGAGTCAAGGTATGTGGGGTGGCCTTCACAGTGTCAGGCAACCAGTACCCTTAACAGAATTGTTGTGTTCAAGTCACAGCATAGAACTAAGAAAGGACAGAGATCATCACTGGCTCACCTTTTGGTAGAGAACATTATTGGCATAGAAGACCCTTCACTAACCAGAAGAAACCCACTGGATGTGATTCAGGGGATATAATTGTGGCCAAAAAGGAAGGTTTCATTGCTGACATCACTCAGCTCATGGGCCTGCAAACAGACTCCACTGCATGCTTCATCACATTCAGCCAGTCTTTCAACAGCACCGCTCAGGAAGTTTAATTTTACACTACTCCTCACTAAACCAAACGGCGAAGTTGACCCAAGTGGATCAGTCTCCAATGGTGGACCATCTCCATAAGTCCCCCATCAATCTGAAGATGTGGAAGACTGTTTTACACAGGAAGACAGTAATCAGCAGAACCAATCATGACAATGTGTTGCTATCACTATATGCATAATATTTTAGGTTTAACTTTTCATCTGCATTGGTAGAGGAAGATACTAAAAACAAGACAGGGATGAGAAAAGTTAGAACACACATTTTTCCTTATGGTCCAACTGTGTGAGGCAGTGAGGACAAAGAACACTCAAATATCTTTTCTTTCAGAATGAAAGTATAGCTGTTTTCAGAGGGGTAGCTTTGTTACTGTGATAAAGCAAAAGAATAACAAAGACATGAGCTTCTGTAGGAGAGAGCCATTTTTTCATCATTACTGATGATTTAGAGTAAAATTTCAAAGAGTCTTGTGGTACCCTAAAGACTAACAAACGTGTGGATTAAAGTCCACTTCATCAGATGCATGTTATACCAGCTTGGAAGGTACATAGCTGGAGGGGGGGGATAATGTAATTACATTACATAAATGGATGTTCCATTTTTGTTTTTCTCTTTGAAAAAAGAGGTTTTTTCATTTCTGCTCGACAGTCCTGAGCCAAAAAGAATGTGACCTTCCTTTTTGTTTACCACAGTAATGAGTGTGTCTATTTGCACATTTTATTTTTTCCTATTTGCCAGCTGGCAAAAGACATGCATTTTTGCTCCGAAGTAACTACCACTATGCTCAACAGGACTTACTCTCATGTAAATGTGCAGAGATTACAGGTCAAGCAGGGCTTGTTGCTGAATAAATACACATAGGCTTGGGGCTGTTAGGAGGCATCCTTGTGCAGGTCTATTTCAAACACTGGGTATATTTGTAACTAAGTGTTCAAATAAAACAAACGTTTTATACATGGAATATTTAAAGGATTTTATATGCTTTTGAAACCACTGGGATTTAAAGGGGCTAAACTGGATTGCACTGTACCACCAAAAAAGTATACTTTATTCCATAAATACAACAAACCAGATATTTCAAAGTAGTATTTTACATGGCAACTACTACATACACTATGAACAATGAATTTCATATCCTTGAGATAAGAAACAGAGGATTTGATACCACCACATAGAAAGTTTTTTCTACAAAAAAATAACAAGTTTGTTCACTCATTCAAAATCTCCAGAAATTTCACATCTCTGACAAAGACAATGTAAATGAAATAATAAAGAGTACCCTATTTTTTGCTCTATAAGACTCACTTTTTCCCTTCTAAAAAGTAAGGGGAAATGTGTGTGTGTCTTATGGAGCGAATGCAGGCTGCGCAGCTATCCCAGAAGCCAGAGCAGCAAGAGGGATTGCTGCTTTCACTGCGCAGTGATCCCTCTTGCTGTTCTGGCTTCTGAGATTCAGAATATTTTTTTTCTTGTTTTCCTCCTCCAAAAACTAGGTGCGTCTTGTGGTCTGGTGCGTCTTATAGAGCGAAAAATACGGTAAATTAAAATTAAGTCCATAGTCCATATACACATCATTATGACTTCTCCCCAAGAATGACCAGCTGACAAACTGGCTACAATTATCATGCAAAAAAGCAAAGAAAATGACATTGAGGTTTATATAAAACCGATAGAAATAACATTGCCTCCCCTTGCTTTAGATTAATTTTCCCCAAAAGACAGTTAAGTACAGTAGCTTGTTTTTTGAAGACAGTGGGACTTTAGCTCTTTTGTTAAGTCAAATCATTTTTATTAGATATATACCTTATCTTTTGTTAAAAACTTGAAAGCAGTATGTACCCTGCACGTACAAGGTCAAACTTAACCACACAGAAACTTTAAAGACATACACACAGAGAGAAAGAGAGAGTGTGTGTGTACTGCCTGTTGACTATAGATATTTGGATTTGGTTTGATATAAAAAGTTAAGGCCCACTGCAGTCTTCTGTTTCTCATTTCTAAATGCAGGGTATTCAAATTAATAGCTATTGTTTTCATTCCTACAGATGACTGGTGGTTCAGGAATCAAAGGCAGCTTGTACCAGTGGCAACTGTAGTGTTGCCTTTTTGTTGTTGTTTAGTTTTTAACAAATATAAGAGTTATCAGACTCCTGTACCTCCAACAGCTGCAGAGCAGAGATAATTTCAGCAGTGCAGCATCTCTCATCCCTGCAAGTTACATCTGCTGAAATCTCCCCCTTCTACACAGCTGTTAAAGTTGCAGGAGCCCTGCTATTCTCATTTGCACCTGATCATCCTAGAGAAAAAGAAAGGCATATGCAATAAATAATGTAAACTGGGTCTCATATTACAGGTTGGGATTAAAGGTAGGTCTTGGGTATGCTAAGACTGAAGAATACTGCCACAATGATATACCAATGTAATAAAGATGTATTTCAAAAGAATTGCAAAACTGTATGGATATAACACAAGGAGAATTGCATTTCAGTGTCAGACACTGTCTGATGATTACTTTAATATTCAGAAAATTGTACAGTATCTATAGACACACTGCTTGATTTTTTTTTATTTTAAAAAAAACCCTCCAAGAGGTTCACAAAAAACATTAAATTTGTTTGCAAAAAAAGTTACAAACAAGTATATAAAACATTCAAAAGATGAATTAAAATCAACAATGGCTAAATAGATAAAATGTGTATAATTTCCACATGTCTGATTAGGCTTTCCTAAACAAAGATGTTTTAAGCAGCTGCCAAAAAGAGTATAGCAAAGGCACCTGATGTCCATAAGCAAAGAGTTCCAAATGTAGGTGTGCTTGATCTGCACACCTAAATATCCAAGTGTGGAACAGGTATTGCATGGCACCTTTAACATTGCCAGTTCTGCATTTCATAGTGGTTCAGTGAGCATATATAGAGTAAGGCAATCCTAATAGTAACACCTTGAACTTAGCAACAGGTAACCAGCACAGATTAATAAGCAGAGATGTTATATGCTGTCAGGGTCTCACTCCTGTCCACAACAATGCTGTAGCACTTTGCACTAAATGCAGATCAAGCACAAGGGAAGCTCCAAATTGCCTGCATTGCAGTAATCCAGTCTTGAAGTCACCAATGCCTGAACTACTGTGGTCAAGCTCTCCCAGTCCAGTTGCACCAGTTGCAACTGGTAAAGGGTGTTTCTAACCACGGAGGCTACCTATGCCTCCAGTGACAAAACTGGATCCAGAAACACCCCCAAACCGTATCTGCTCCCTCAGGAGAAGTGGAACCCTGTCAAGGGCAGTCAAGTGTCCGATTTCTCAGCCACAGGAGCCACTCAACCAATACTTCTGCCTTGCTAGGATTCAAGCTCTATTTATTTCCCCTCATACTTCCCACCACTGCATCCAGGCACCAGTCCAGGGCCCACACAGCCTTTCTTGATTCAGGTGTTATAGAGAAACAGAGATTAATATTATCAACATACTGATGGTACCTTGGCCAAAACTTCAATGACCACTTGCAGCAGCTTCATGCAGACATTAAGCAGTGCTGGAGACAGAATAGTGTCCTGTGGCACCTCATAGTGTAACTTTCAAGTGGCTGAAAAGCACTCTCCCAGTACTGTACGTTGTCCCGAAGGTTGGACCAGAATCACTGTAATACAGTGTCACCGCCAACCTCCCCACCCCCCAGTTCCCATTCCACAGAGCCAGTCCAGCAGGGTACCATGGTCAATGGTATCAAAAGCCACAGAGATCAGGAAGCAGGAGAAAGATAGAACTTTTGTCCTGCTCTCTGGTAAAGGTCATCATATGTACATGCACACACCTACTATCAGTTGCGGTTGGGATGAAAAAGTTAACATTTTAGCTGGTATCTACGGAAGCAAGAGTGGGGCTCTTTTCCCTGTGGGCAAACTTGCATGGGTGGGGGTGGGGAATGGGTAGCATAACAGATGCAACCCTTACACTAAGCTGCATTCAAGCTGCACAAAAGTCAGTGGTTTCTATGAACTTTTCTCTCCAACCCCGTCTAAACAAGTAAGTTTCCTCACAGTTCAAGGACACATTCCAATCAAGTAAAGCAACTGGGGAGGTCCAATAGCAGGGCCAGTCAGAGGCATGACCTAGGGAGAGTCCCAAGGACTGGAGAGAGATGGCTCCCCCAGACAGAAGGGTCCCACTCCTTCCTGTACCAAAGCTGGGCTGCATTCAATTTCCATTGATTTCAATAAGAATTATACCATGACTAAATGCTTTTGTTGGGACCCAAGTGTAAGTCTGGATCCAACACTCAATTTATGCTTCATTCCTGCTCAAGGTATACAGATAATGTGCATAATGGTTTGTTTTAACTAATAATATTTTTTAAAAAAAACACAAACACAAGATACAAACACAAGAGCAACAGAAAAAGATGCAAACAAGTGAATCACATGAACAAGGACAAGAAAATTGGACTTAAAGTTTCTTTAAAAATTGCTCTAATTGCTTGATAAATCAGCCTCAGCAATACAATTTTATACACATGCTGACACATGATTTTGCAGAATATCCTTAAGTGACAAATGCATTTTCTTCCATCCAAATATTCCAGTAGCACTTGAAAAATTTAAATAATAGAGATGTCACTGATCTCTATTGTCAACACCACAATTACAACTGTCATGAAATTTAACACTAAGTATTTGTATGTCTATATGCTATAGCTGATACTGTACATCTCTTGCACAGCCTGCATGCTAAACTACTAATAATTACTTTGAAATTCAAGTCTCTTGTCATCTTACATCTATTTCAAAAAATTTCTTTCCATCCTCTTTAAAATATAATTTAAATGTACAATAAGGAGGTCCACTTTCATCATGATTTCTTCGTCTCAATCCTTTACAATTTACTTCAGCAACATGTGGATAAGAGTAAGTAATTCCAGGAAACAAGTCCCACAAAATAATGACAGCTGAAAAGAGTTGCAACGGTATGAGGTGTGAATCTCCCACCTCCTTCCAGAAACGAAGTATTACCGGTTCCTTTAGTTATCAGTAGCGCTAGGTCATTTAGAAGAAGTGAGATTTCCCTCTCAGGTCCCATGACCACCACCACCAACAACAAAGGCAAGCCATCGCTTCATCGAGCTACTCGACTAATAAAGAACCCCTATCAAACAGCTAAGAGAACATGTCAGGACATATTTACAACAGCTCCTCCCTTAAAATACCGTCACGTGCAGAGGCCAGTGCTCCACATCCGTTCTTCGTAGACGTGGAAAATATTTGTAAGCCACGCGGGTACAAGCTTGTTTTTGTTTTGTTTAACGGGGGGGGGGGGCAATCTATCTTTCACAGCCACGAAAGAAAGCGCTCTGATAACAGAAGCAGCCTTAACCGACGCTCCACCAAGGATGTGCATATGCAAGTCTTATCCGGGAAAGGGAGGCAACCTCGACACCAGAAACTGAAAGTAAAGGCTTGCGGGGGAGGGCGGAGAGGCCAGCAGAGCCATCCCAACTGACAGGGGACGCGCGGATGGAGCTGCCTCCCTTCCAGGCAGCGGCGGCGATGGCCTCGCTTACCCCACACATCCCCTCCCTTCCCAGAACCATCAACAAAGCCGAGCCAGCACGGATGGCGGGGGGTGGGGGGAGGGGGGGTGGGGAGGGGACGACTTTCGAGTACTGTACAGTGTTTTTCAAATACCCTTTTTGCGCTTTGTAGGCAATTCCTTCCGATGTCTCCCCCCCAGCACCGCCACGACTCGTGTATCCCGCAAATATTCAAATGGATTATTTTGTTGGGGGGGGGGAGAGAAGGTGACACTGTTTCTGCACTCCAGCCCCAGACAGACCCAAAAAAACAAAAACCTGACAGACCAGCTTTCCCTTGGTTTAATCGCACATCCCTCAGAGGATTTCCTTTCCCCGTTGCCATTCCCCTCCACTTGCACGCAGCATACACAATTGCACAATCGCTCGGCGAGGAAAGGGAGGGGTCCCGCAAGGACTCCGAGGGGACTTTCCAGGGCCAGTCTATGCCCAGCCTCCCTCCCCTGACCCGTGAAGACTTCCATTTACACACACACACACTTATATAAGCCGATGGAGGGATGGCACTGACAAGAGCAGGGTCTCCCCCTCCCCCCGCCCCACGCAACTGAAGGGGGTCCCTTCGGGGATTTTCCAGCCTGCGCCCGGCGTCCCTTTGCCCGCCTTGCCCTGTTCGTGCTTCCAGGTCACAAACGTGAAGAGGGGAAAAGACAAGGGTGCCAGACTAATTATCTCCCCTCCCCCCCCCAACCAAAAAAACTCCGGTCTTCCCGATGAGGTCGACCCTAATGATGGGGGGGGGCCGAGAGAGACCTCAGTCCCTCGACTTCCTATCTACGGGCCCATCCGCTTCTCAAGCGGGGCGGGTGAAGCGAAGGGTTTGTGCCCCTCAGCCGCCGCCGAGGCCGGGTTTCAGCCCCGGAGCTCCCGCTGCCATTTCTCCGCGGGCCGAAAGAGCTCCGCAACGTCGCCTCCGACGGACAGGAGCGCGTCGGGGGCCGAGGAACAGCCGAGTGACCCCCGGGGCTCAGCCCTTCGCTTTCCTACCGCCGCCTCCCCCCCCCCCCGCCAGTGCTTCCCTCCCGCCTTACCTTGTTTATGTGTCAAAGGGAAACGTCACGTCGCCGCCGCTCTCTCAGGCCGAAACAGCGGCGGGAGGAAAACAGCCGGCAGCAGCGGCAGCAACAGCCAGGAGAAAACCAGCTCGCGAGGAGGCGGAGGGAGAGAGGGAGAGACCGAGAGGGAGGGCAGCTCGCTCGAAGCAGCAGCAGCAGCAGCAGCCGCCCAACGCCGGGGGAGGAGACACGAGGAGCGGAGGAGGGACGGAGGGAGGGATCTGCGCCCGAGCGATACAGCCTTGGCTGCCCGCCCTCCTCCTCCCCGGCGCAGCGCGCGAGGGCGGCCCTCGGCCTCCCCTTCTGCACATGCTCGCGCACCTGAGGCGCCTCCGCCGAAGGGGCGTGGGCGCGAGGGGAGCTCGCGCCCGCCCCGTGGCCTGGCTGGCGGCGACCGCCGCTCCTGTATGTACTGTTGTTCTTTGCGCGCAGCAGCAGCAGTAAACTGGCCCGCCTTGGTAGGCTTTCACGATCCTTCTCTGTCTCGCACACACTGACTGACTGACTAGCTTGCTGCATCCTGAGGAAATGCAGGTTCCATCTAGTTGCCGCGTCTAAAATTGCCCAACTGCCCCCCCCAACCCACAAGGCAGCTTTAAGGGCGAAGATAACCCGTTTGTTTGCAGGGGGTGGGATTTAGAGCACGCATGCTTGGGATGATTATTATTTATTCAATTATTTATTGAATTTATATACCGGCTTTCATCCAAAGATGCCAGGGCGGTTTACTGCAATGAGAACACAAAATGCCTGTCACAATAACAATAACCAAGAAGTCTCATTAAACTTGTATGGGACTTAGGTCTGAGTGGGCAGGTTTAGGATCCTACTGCATAGCTGAAATCCATGAGGAACCTCAGGCCTAGGGTCTGGATGCAGTCCTTCAGGCCTTTATATCTCTAGTCCTGGAGACTTTCTTCAGGAAGCACCCCACCCTCAGAGCTTGATCCATGCCCTCGGGTGCTTTTGCTTGGCTGGAATGTCCCCTTGAGCTGTGATAATGCCTCTTGGGTAGAGCAATGGATGTATAGAAACATCTGCCTTTTACGTGGCTGGGCTGTATGATCTACTGTTCAAATGTAAGAGTCGCATCTGTTGGCTCCACCATTTCTTGTCTCTGGCCCTACCCATAGTAGGCATCTGATCCCCAAAAAGTTACCCACAAGACCATGCTTTACCCACCCTCAGGATAAAAAAAGGCTCTGGTTATATACTGTTACTTGGAAGTAGCACCATTGGTCCCAGCAGAACACATTTCTGTATAAACATGAATAGGCTTTGGCTGCACAGCTGTGTAGAGAATTTGGACTTTGGGCAGTTGTGAAGAGGGAAAATAACAAAAGGTACTAGAGCCATTTAACAGTTGCTACTCTCTCTTCGTTTTGATCATAAGTGCTTCATCTGCTTGAGGTCAATATGCTAGTCATCCATTAAGCAGAGGACCTACTCCCAACTGTGTTGGCCATCCACCTGTGGAATGATGTCAAATCCTCGCTGGCATCAGCCTGCAGAAAGCCCCCAAATGAGAGGGGGTGGGCAGGGAAGGGCTGAGACAGCCCTGGATCCCAAACTACCCCCACTATCATCTCCTGATGGCATCAAGCCTGGTGATTTGCCTGTCCCAGCTGGCATGAGTTGTATATTGCAGATGTGGCAACAGTCCCGACACACTTATAGTCCCACAATTCCCCAATTGGGGTTTGAATTGCAGTCAGCCCTATGCGGTAACCATTTCCATTGTCTACTGAGGACTGTCTCACGCAATTCTACACCTGCCTATTCAGGAATTAAAAAAGAGGCATACTCCTAAGTAAGGGGGTGTATCGGAAAGTAAGTCTTGTTGAACTCAGTGGCACATAAGAAGATCACACATCAGTAAAAGTATTTTTATTCATCCATAAAAAGAAGCTTGTTTGAAAAATGATGAGTGGCCCATTGTGACTGAGAGATTGGGTGGCCAAGTGAAAGAGGATGGGACTCTTGCACTTTCAATAGTTATACAGAAGAGGAAGCTTCAATTGATGAAGTTTGTTACTCAAGCTAAATCTGCTGAAATCCCCTCTTCTGCACAGCTGTTAAAGGGGCAGGAGCCCTGTCTTTAAAGCTCTTAAAGAGGCAGGAGCCCTCTCTCCAGATTGTATCGCATTACAAGATTCAGATCTCAGATACCACACTGCAAGTTGCAGCCTTGCTTAGTGCCTAGGCGCCTTGAAAGGTGTTTATATGTTCAGGTACTGTTCCAGGGCAATGACCTTGCAGCTCTGACTACGAGTTCAGTTTCTTCCTGTGGCCTTGCCATCTGCTTTCTGATCTACCTACATCCTATCTACAGAACAATATTTCATCAGTCTCTTTGTTTAAGGATTAGGCCAACTGATAAGGTGTCAAGGACATTGACCTTAAACCAGGAAATCTGCAGAGAATTGGAACCTTTCAGAGATTTGAGTGTCATCTCTGTGTGCAAAATCCTTTTTAAATAGTCTCCTAGGAAGTTTGATGTAGTTGTTAGACGCAGCCTTTCTGAACCTTGTGTCCCCAAGTGTTGTTGGACTACAAGACCCATCATCCCTTACCTGGTCTTGATAGCCAGGCATGATGGAAGTTGTAGTCCAACAACATCTGGGCACCCAAAGATGAGAAAGGCTGTATAGTGTGTTGAACTAGGACCAGGGAGACCTCACTTTATGTAAAAAATATGTCTCAGTCTACAGCACCTCACAAAATTGTTGTGAGGATAAAACAAATGGGCCAAACCATGCCATTCCTGCTACATATCAAACAGCTGCCACCTCTGTTATCTGATAATATCTGTTACCCTGTTGAAGGCCTTTCTTTTCTAGCAAGACCTTTAAGTAGAGATTTCTTTCCCAGTCTGTATCTGTGTTGGACTTGTTTTTAATACGCTTTCATTATTGATGTTTTCATTGTTAAATTGCTTTGAGGTGTTTTATAGAGAGCAGTTCATAAATACTATAAATAATAATGATGATTATAACACACTGCCTTAAACTCCTTGGAGGAAAGATGGGATATATATTTAGTAAGTTCCCATTGCAGTTGGGATTACTGTTTTTCCCCCCTGAAATAGTACCTAAACTCAAGACAGTCATTTCCCCCCACTACCTCTCTCCTATGCTTCTTACAGCAGGTTGATTTGCAAACAATAGTACTTAAACAATATTTTAATGTTGTATTTTTTAATTTTGTTTTTAAGTTGTAATCATTTAACTTGTTTTTATTATTGCTTGTAAGCCGCTCTGAGCCCGGCCTTGGCTGGGGAGGGCGGGGTATAAATAAAAATTATTATTATTATTATTATTATTATTATTATTATTATCTTTATATCAGGAAAAGTATTATTTGCTGGAACTGGAGATAGTTGATTTTAGACAGACAATATCCTGATCATCACATAGTTATCTAGTAGACTTCTCTCAGTCTGGTTGACTCTGATTATGCAAGACTTCCTAGATCCCAGCCTCAGGCGTGAAATCAAAGGCCCTTTGTTACATTTTCCGCACCTGACTTTCTCTGTCATGTCATCAACACACCTGTTTGCTTGCCAGAGTCCAGATGACAAGCTGAGGGTTACAGATGTTCTGTGTATCAGTTACTAACCTGGTGGGAATTATTGCCAGGGTGATCACTTCCAAAAGAAGGCTCTTGTGCCTTTAATGGTTGTGCAGAGTTCATAGAAAATTTTGGCAAAGGCAACTTGTCTTGCAAGGTCGAAAAGCTACACTAGCTGCAGTCCCTTGTCTGTACAGCTGTTAAAAGAGACAGGAACCCTTTTCTGTTTTGCTTCCAGTCAGTCTATCCTCAGAGGGGGAGAGATTCACTTTTTTTCACCATGTTATCCCTGTTTTCCCTCATTCTTCAGTATGAGATTCATTGTTGATGTACAGGTAATCCTAAAACTTCCTAATTCAGATTACTTTGGCAATTCTCAGGAGGAATTGGCAGGGGAAAAGCTGCATAGTTATGTGATGCTGCTATATAAAGTGCCTTTCATTTAATTGGGAACATGCAACATTTTGTTAGTTTTTAGCCTTATTTGTTTAAGGTGAAAGGAAAAGAAAACAAGGAAGAGCTGAGCTGTGTTTCATGGGGTATGTATGTTAGGATAGGGATGGGGAATCTGTGGCTGTCCAGATTATCTTGGACTCTAATTCCCATCATCCTTAACTATTGGTCATGCTGACTAGGGCAGATGGGAGCTAGAGTACAAGGAGATATCTGGATATGGACTTCCACAAACAATACATGTTGTGATGTGGGTTGTGAGTTTGTTTTAAATATGGAGAACTTGTCTATGAACAAAATGATCTAAGCACCAATGAATAATGAGCTGTTCATCATAACAGTTCTACAAAGATTTTTCCTTATTTGTAAACTATAGAAATTCAACACTTCACAAGGCTTATGAGGTTTAATCTCGTTAAACAAACACTTTTTATATCTATGACAAGTGGAACAGCGTTAGAAACTGAGATTTGAAAGCTAGGAGCTAAATGGCACCTTAAACCTAGGTTATGGCACAACAACAGAATGTCTAGGCATGATTTTTTTATAGAAAGACTACAAAGCTGAAAATGAATGAACTTCAGCTAAAATATTATGTTCATTTTTCACATGGTCTAGTCTTTCCCTTGCCTTCCCCCCTAATATTCTTAAGAGGGTCTCTTCTTCAGAGAGTAGCTGGAAGTGGGGAGGCAGAAAAAGATCCTTCTTTCCTTCCACTCTGCAGTTTTAATTTGAAATCTTAGGTGCATTACTGCACCCAGAGCTCAGAAACTGCTCACGCTAATGAAATTCCTTGTCGCAAAATGTGCAAAGAACAATGAGAGTTTTGAACACTGAGTGGAAAAGTTTACAACTGTGGTGATTTGTGCCTGGGGGAACATCAGAACACTTCTTATCCAGGTGTTGGATTATTATCTGAATCGTAAATGGGTTTTTGAAGGTAAAGTTGCCCCAGTTTGGACTCTTGTCCAATAAAACAGAACAAAATTATGACCAACCAGTTACGCTGCAAATCATTCCAGTTCACTGTTAGGAAGAACTGTGCTTTCTTTAAAATATGTTTAATAAAGCCACTATTTTCCACTGAAAGAAAAGTACATTAAGTGATCCCCTATATGTTGTTGTTTAATGTTAGATCTGTTGCTAGTTGTATGTTTGTTTGTTTTAGTTCAAGAGCTTCCAGCAACCTTACAGATTTTGACTTAGTGCCCTCTTCTGTTTGACACATGTCACTACACTCAAAGCAACTGGCTGCCAGTTAGTCACCAAGCCAATTTTAAGTTTCTGCTACTTGCATGCAAAACTCTAGATAAA